AAAATAAATAACCCAATTAAAAAATGGACGAAGGATCTGAACAGACACTTCTCCAAAGAAGAAATTCAGATGGCCAACAGGTACACGAAAAGATAGATGCTCCACATCCCTAATCATCAGAGAAATGCAAATTAAAACCACAATGAGATATCACCTCACACCAGTTAAGATAGCCAACATCCAAAAAACAAGGAACAACAAATGCTGGCGAAGATGTGGAGAAAGGGGAACCCTCCTACACTGTTGGTGGGAATGTAAATTAGTTTAACGATTGTGGAAAACAATATGGAGGTTCCTTAAAAAACTTAAAATAGAAATACCGTTTGACCCAGGAATTCCACTCCTAGGAATTTACCCAAAGAAGACAAGATCACAGATTCAAAAAGACATATGTACCCATATGTTTATGGCAACACTATTTACAATAGCCAAGATATGGAAGCAACCTAAGTGTCCATCAGTAGATGAATGGGTAAAGAATATGTGGTACATATACACAATGGAATATTATTCAGCCATAAGAAGAAAATAAATTCTACCATTTGCAACAACATGGATGGAGCTAGAGGGTATTATGCTCAGTGAAATATTGAAATAAGCCAGGTGGAGAAAGACATGTACCAAATGATTTCACTCACTTGTGGAGTATAACAACAAAGCAAAACTGAAGGAACAAAACAGCAGCAGACTCGGAGACTCCAAGAAGGGAGTAGTGGTTACCAAAGGGAAGGGGTTGGAGAGGATGGGTGGGGAAGGAGGGAGAAGGGGATTAAGGAGCATTATGATTAGCACACATAATGTAAGGGGGGGCATGGGAAAGACAGTGTAGCACAGAGAAGACAAGTAGTGACTCTATAGCATCTTACTACACTGATAGTGACTGCAATGGGGTGTGGGGAGGGACTTGATAATATGGGTGAATGTAGTAAACACAATGTTGCTTATGTGAAACCTTCATAAGATTGTATATCAATGATACCTTAATAAAAAAACATAAAATAAAACTGTAAAAAAAAATTAGTTGGACTAAAAAAAAAAAAAAAAGCAAGCACTCTGAGCCAAACACTCTGGATCCAAATCGCAGCCTTGCCACTCCTGAATGTGACCTTGGACAAGTCACTTCTCTCTGTGTCTGTTTTCCCAACCGCTAAGGAGGATATTAATAGAATCTACTTCACAGGGCTGTTGCAAGGATTGAATAAGATCATTTATTCACAGCATTTGAAACAGTATCAATGCATAGTAAATGTTGTATGTGTTCCTATCATCATCACTGTCATCACCATCATTATTATAAAAGCTGATGAGGCAGGAATAATAACCACAGCAGATGTCTTTTGTGAGCCTGTTGCATTTCAGCCTCTGAACAAAGATCTTTTTATGGCATCTTATTTAGTTCTCACATAAATCCTGCTATTATTCACATTGTTTAGAGAAGGAAATAAAAATGTGTGGTCCTTACAAGGACATGGTTTAAGACATGACAGGAATAAATAATATGGTTTTCACATCATGGTTTAAGGACAATTTTAAGGATGTGAAGGGAGTAAATGATGTAGTTCTCACAACAATTTTGTGAAGTCAGTACTCCTATGGTAACCATTTTACAGATAAGGAAAACTGAGCACAGAGAGGAAGAGTGACTTGCCCAAGGTTACACAGAAGTTGAGACAGAGATTTGACCCCAGACTCGGGGTTCTTAAGCATTCCACTTTACTGTCTTGGTATTTGCATAAATTCTCCTAAATATAACAAAACCCCACTTCCCCAAGGCCAAGCCCAGCCCCCCAGAGTTCTAACCCTCCCTCTCCCCAAGGCCTCCTGAGCTGCTGAGGGCCACTAGGTCTACCACCCCTTTATGCAAATGAACACCATGGGCTTTGTAAATAGGGCACCCTGAGGTAGGTAAGAAGCTCCTTCCTGCTCCTGGCAGCTGGGGGCTGGAGGGGGCGCCGGATCATCTGGCTCCCCTCAGGCTCTGGGGAGCCCAAGCAGGGGGCCTCCATGGATCTCTAAAGGAAGCAGCTGTGGAGCTGGAGGCACAAAGCAGGATGCCACACACATCTGGGTTTCCTCCCAGGCAGGCAACTTTGTGCCTCTGGGTCTCAGTTTCCTCATCTGTCAAGTGGGCTAATTTGGAATAGTCCCCAATTCCCTGGGTTGTAGAGAAGATTTCCACAAGGAAACTGGTTAGAGTCTACCACATGGTAACTGACTGATATAGGAATCTATTAAAATTAACATGTAATAGTTATATCTATTAGGTTATACAAAACAGTATCTTGCAGTTCAATAAAATTATATATAAAATGTTCAATATATAATAGGTCGCTCTGTGTTGCAGAGTTAAATATTGATATGTCAATACAATTGTAATATAGAGCACATGCTTGTACCATATTTGAATTTACACTGCATAATTAGATAGGTTTATATTTAGGTTAATAGAATTGTACAATACAATTAGATGCTTATTATACATTATAAAATACACTTGTGCATTAGACATTGTTTTTCCTTAGAACTTTATATACAACGTAAAATTATTCTGCGTCAGAAAAAAATTATTCTGTGTCATTGTGCATTATATCATAAGATATTAATAGCATTTCTTTTTTTTGGTCAGTCATCATTATGTGTTTTATGACCTACCCTTGTTACTCTGTGGACATACGATCTGTGGCTATGGGGGCTTTGCAGGACTGCCTGGTGACTGTCCCCTTCTGTTTATGTACTCACTCCCCTGGGGTGGGACACCCAGGCTGCCCACAGCTCCCCAAAAATAATGTTGCAGTGAACATCCTGTGTGTGTCCCCTTATGGAACTGAGAACGTCTTGTACATACACCCAGAGCTAATTGCTGGGTGAGAACTCCACGCACACACTTAATTTGACTAAGGAGTGAGTGCCACAGGGCTCTCGGGAGCGGCTGCCCACTTTCAGTGTGTGAGGGCCCCTAAGTCTCCACATCCCCAACCTCCCCTTGATATTTTCCAACTTCTAATTTTTGCCAGACTAATAGGATGACTCACTGTTGTTTCAATTTGCACCTCCCTGAGCAGGTACCAGTAATATCTAGCATCTTCTCAGGTGCCTGTCAGCGTCTGGGATTTCCTTGTCGCCAACCCATGCCCTTTGCCCTTTTTCTATCAGAGATGTTTTTTTCTCTTGCTAATTTGCAGCTTTTCCTTTTACATCCTAGAGAGTCATTTCTCATTGATCTTCGGCATTGTAAATACCTTCTTCCCTGTCATCTCATCTGATATTTGTCCTGTGTCCTCATTAATAGAAACCCTTATTTAGATGTTATCAAATGCATCCTTTTTCTGCCATTGTGCGGTTTGCCTCAGAAGTCGTTTCCTTGGTGGTTAATGGTGTTATTGTTGGCACTAACCATCCTCCACAGGCCTCGAGGGTAAGGCTGGTTTGTACCAGAGCCAGAACCTTTTCCGACCTCCCTCCCTGAGGCTTCTCAGAGTCCCAAGCACCATGAGACACTTTCCTGCCACGAGCCAGGAGCATTACATCACCTCATGAGATGCAGGGGCTGAAAAGCTGGGCTGAGAGAAAGACAGACAGACAGCACATCACGGAGAGCAGCACTTGAAACCGGGGGAGAGAGGAGGGAAAAGAGGCAGGAAGAGGAAGAGATGCTGAGAGGGTCTGAAACCACAGGGTATGTCACGGAAAGGAAAAGCTGAAGAGAACGGCCTCTGCACTTGTCTAAATGTTCTGGTGTGAAAAAAGACATCCATGGTGACTTCTTTTAATGAAAAAAAAAAAGGAGCAAAAATCCACTTCTAAGAGAGTTTTGGTTGAATTGACTAACATACTAGGTTTGGCAGAATCATTAATTACTGTGACCCATTTATTCCACTGTTGGGTATCTACCCACAGAATTGCACATTTTGATGTTCATCGAAAGACAGGTGCTAGAATGTTCACAGAAGCATTATTCACAAAAGTCCCAAACTGGAAACCGCTCGAATGTCCATCAAAGGAAAGGAGATCAATGTACCATGGCAGTGACACAATGGAAGACCACACAGTGACAAAAAGAAATAAACTACAACCAAATATAATAACATGGAAGAATCACAAAGACATTATATTGAATGAAAGAAGCCAGACACGATAAATTACTCCATTTATATAGAGCTCAAAACCAGGCAGAAATCAGGTTAGGGGCAACTTTGGGGCGGGAGAACTGGAAAAGGGTGCAAGGGGGTTTGAGGGGATGGGAATGCTGTTTCTTGATTTGTGTGTCACATGGATATGCTCAGTTTGTCACAATTCATCAACCTAAACAAATGATTTGTGCTCTTTTTGTACATCAGTTAAAACTTATGTCAAGCGTGACACATTTAGGTAAAAGAAAAAAAAAACCCACATACTCAAAAGAAAAGTCTGTGTTTCTATGAGCATGTATTTATGTTTGGCCTAAACAGATGCCCAGCCAACAGAGCAGAAGAAACCTGCCAATATATGATATGGGTCACCCCTGACCAGGAGGGACAGTGGGATGAGGAAGGGGCTCCCAGAGGGTTACTCCATCTCTAATGTTTTCACAATTAGATATGTGCCTACAGTCTTAAACACTGTGTAAGGATTAAATGACAACATTTTAAAAGCACTTAGAACATTGTATGGTTACAGTAATTGCTACATAAAGATTTGTTGCGATAAAAGTAATGAAGTGAAAACGTTCTTTGGGGTGTAAATGGTATTATTAAAACTAAACTAGGCATAAAAGAAACGTAAGAATATACAGACTCTGTCTTGTAACTTTCCATTCAAACCTTCATTATATACATGAATACATCCTTACAGAAATAGATTTGTCTTTTGAGTGTCTTTACATAAATGTGTCATACTAGGCATACTTTTGTAAAAACAGCTTTTATTGAAGCACGACAGTGACAGAACAGAGAATCACGGGTCTAGAGACAGAAAGATAGAGGAGATAGAGAGCCTGCTGGGCGCCTGGGGGTGGGGGCCTGGCAGCACCGGAAACCTCAGCCTGAAGGGATCCCCATGTGGGGGGAGGGGGACCTTTGGTCTCTCCCCAGCCTCTTCCTTCCCCCTGGCCTGGGGCTGGGTGGAGGGGCAGTTCCTCTTTCCTTCCCAAGCTCGGAGGAGGCCCCAGCTCCCAAGGGGCTAAGAAGCTGGAACACTGGTAAGGGGGAAGGAGCTGAGCCAGATCCTTACAAGACCCTGCTCCCCCTCCCAGGAACCATGAACAGGAAAGACAGCAAGAGGTGAGAGGACCTTCCCCAAGGAGACGGGCAGTGCTGATGCCCCCGGGCCTCCGCTGCTTGGGGGTGTTGATGAGTACTAATGAAGTGGGCAGGGTGGTGGGCTCTGTGAGGAGCAGACACAGGACCAGGGGCACCAGGTGGAAACGCTTCAGAGTCCAGGGCCAGCTAGGGCTGGGGGATGTTTGTATGAGCGTCTCAGTCTTGTCCTCGCTGTCTCTGGAGTTTGAGCTGCTCTGTATCCCCTTCTCCCCTGCCCCCCTCTCATCCTAGCTCCTTAGGCTGGGTGTCTATCCTCCCTGGGGTCTTCCTGATTCCCCATCACAGTGGCTTCACTGCCCCCTGGACTGGAAACTCCAGGCTCCTGCAGGGCCCTGCCCCAAGGGAGGGGAGTGTGACGCAGGGCAAGGTGGCTCCCATGCCTCTGAAACCACCCCTATCTGCTCCAGACACTGCGGAGGGCAGACAGTCCACAGGTAAGGGCCTGGTTGCTGGCTATGCCAGCAGGTTCTGGAATGGGCTATCACCTGGGCAAGCCTGCCCTTCTGTCCTACAGGGGCAGTGGTACTGGGTCCTTAGCATGGGCAGCTCCTCCAGCCTCCTCCAGCATGGCTCTGATGGGCAGAGGGGTCCCTTCCCCATAATGTCCAGCAGTTTAGTGGTGGAGACCTGGCCGCCTCATTTTCTGGCTCTGTGGCCCTTAGGTAAGTTATTTAATTGCTCTGTGCCTCAGTGTCTGTCAACAGAATAACCATTGTCCCTCATTGGAGGGGCACATAAGTCCTCAGTGAGACAGTTTAGACCAGTGGTTCTCAAGGTGGAGCACGCATCACAAACACAGGTTGCTGGGCTGTCCTCCAAAGGTGCTCGTGCTGTAGGGGCAGGGGTGGGGCCTGAGAATATCATTTATATCAAGCTCCCAAGTGAATGCTGTTGGTATTGGTTGTGGACCATGCTTTGAGAACAATGATCTAGGTATGTGCTCAACTCTTTGTCTAGTACATATTCAGGACTCAATGAATGACAGCTGTCACGCAACAACACTCGATACTGATTGAGGCCTTAGGATGTGACAGGGACATGGCAGTGCCCTTGTTATCAGGGTCTCCGGATTTCCGGTTTCACCCCCATGCCAGAGGCCTGGCTTCAAGTTTGGTCCATCACTTTCTCTTTCTGCATCTCAAGTTCAACTTTCCCACCTCTGGCCACTTAATAGCCTGAGCAAACTTAAGTCCTTTATTTAGCACTTTTGAAGAGCAAGGCATTGAATGTTCATAATAAATTCCTAGGGAAGGTCCAAGAATGACTCTTAGTTTTCACATGAGGAAACTGAGGCCCAGAGAAATTGACTAACACAAAGTCACAGTCAGCATAAATTTCTCCAACCCAGTTTTGTCTGCCTCTCGTGGAAGCCACGACCATTCTGCTTGGATTCTGCCCCCTCCTTCCACCATCGCTCTCTCTCCATTACCCTCTTTCCCCAACTGGAATGTGAGCCTCCCTCGAGCTGCCATAGAGTGAGGGTTATTTTTAAACTTTCCTTGAAGCTGCCTCAGTCCCAGGGGCCCTGCCCAGCTCTGAAGAGCCCTGGTGTCTGCACCCGTGTCTTCTCTCCAGGCTCCAAATCTAGGGACGAAGGCTGCAGCTAAGACTCAGGCCTGCTGAAGGGCTGGCTTAGAAGGATCTGTCACCTTCGTGGGGGTCAAGATGGGGAAGGAAGGGGAGATGGAATGTCAGGGGTCTGCAGCTCTCACAAGGACTGGGGGAAGGAGAGGCATGTGTTGGAAAGTCAAGGGGAATTCTGGGGAGTCTCCCTGAAGGCAGAGCCTCCCATGATTCTCCTGGAGAGGACAGGAATGGTTCTGGGGTGGGGGGGGTCTCTCCACTGATGTCTTGGGACCATTTAGGGGCAATGCCTGGAGGAAGTTTTTATGATTTCTTAGAAGGTCCTTAGAGGTCCTGGTGGTCTTCTTCCATGATTTCCTTAGTGGGTAGGAGGAGGGCAGGGATCCAGGGTAGTCCTGAGGGTCTTTTCCCGATACCCTGAAGGGGGTAGAGCAACCTTTGAGTTTACCTGTAGGAGAAGGCTCCCATGATCTGCAATACTTCAGGGGTTTTCTCCCATGAGTCCATGGTAGGTCAGCAGTAACCCTGGAGCTTTGCCTAAAGAAAGCTTCTCTCATGATATGCCTTGGGGCTTTGAGGTCAAGAAGCATTCTTGGGGTCTGCCCAAAGAAAGGGGCTCCCATGATTCCTTCGGGGGTGTGCCTACAGGAAGTCCCACCAGGAATGCCTGGGAAAGACAGGGGGGCGGGGCCGGCCCCGACAGGCCCGCCGCTACAAGACGTGCCCCAGTCCCCGGGAAATCAGCAAGGTCACGGCTTCCATGGCTCTGGGCATGCTGAATGAGGGTGGCTGCAGTGAAGATGAGCTGCTGGAGAAATGTATTCAGTCCTTCGGTGAGTGTCCCCATCCCTGGCCAGCCTCCCCAGTCCTAAGGTTAAGCCAATCACCCCCTGTCTCTGGGCCTCAGTGTGGGTGGGTATCAAATGGGAGCAGGAGTGCATTGAATGAATCTCAATCACCACATTAGAGAGACACCTGCATTTCTTTTTCCTGAGATACAGAGATGGGGAGGAGGTCTGATTCTATTTCCATCTTCAACATGATTTGCCAGGAGCTGTGCTGGTCCATGCACAGTACAGACAGGGAAACTGAGGCAGAAGGGGCTAAGTTGGTTGTCTAAATTCATGCAGGGAGTCACAGGTAGAGCTGGGGTTTGAACCAGCCAGTTCAACAGGCTCTGGAGACCCTGCAGTACCTTGCCCGGGGACCATTCTGACAGTTTCCTCCTCCTGCCCCCAGACTCAGCTGGCAGCCTGCGCCGAGGGGACCACATTCTCAACATGGTACTGGCCATGCACAGCTGGGTGCTGCCTTCGGCCCACCTTGCTGCCCGTCTGCTGACCTTATATCCTCCCAGGGTCATGAGCAGTGGGTAGAGGGTGGAGGGTGGAGACATGAGTCTGGGAGATGGAGACAGGGTGAGCAGGCAAGTCCGGGATGCTGATGTCAGAGCCTTGACCAGAACTCAAGTACCAGGAGGCCACAGGGAGCACACAGGAGTCGAGGCGGCTGCAGATCTGTCACCTGGTCAGGTAGGGCTGGGCCAAGACCTCCACTCCCATGACCCAAGACCTCCACCCTGCTGTCCCCCAAAAAACACCTCCCAGAGATTCCCCAGCCCAGTTCCCCACAGACCCACCCAGCCCTGCTCCCCCAAATCCCACTTCTGAGATACCACTGCTTTGGTTCCTAAGACCTTCCCAGTTCTGATCCTTAAAACCCTCACCTCTTTAGAGACCTGACCAGATCCTATAGGTCATCTCCCAGCTGGTGCCCAGAGACCTCCAGCTCTGATCCCCCAAACTCCTATCTCCCACAAACCTCAGCCTAGTTCCTAAGACCCACCCTGTTCCCCCAAAATCCCATGCCCCAAAGGCCCCCAGATTGTTCCTGAGATCCCTCCGACTATCCCACTTCCTATTCCACTGATCCCTTCCAGTCTATCTCTCATTGATCCCCCAGCCTGTGTGAAGAGGCCTCCAGTCCTATTACCAGAGATTGCCCCAGCCTGGTGCCTCTCTGAACTCTACCCTTCCAGAGACTCCAACCCAGCACCTAGAGATTCCTCAGCCCAAGAGACCGGTTTAGAGGCATTCCCCACCTCCACCCTCAGCCTCATCCCACCAGTTCTAAACTACCTTCAGGTACTGGCTGAACCAACACCCTGAGACGGTGCACCAGGAGCCCCAGTTAGAAGAGGTTATAGGTCGCTTCTGGGCCACTGTAGAGCAGGAGGGCAACTCCACCCAGAGGAGCCTGGGAGACTCCTCCAATCTGTGAGTCAGCCCCTTCCTCTTCTCTCCCCACCCCTACTCTGCCATCTCCCTTCACACCCCCACACCCTCCACCCTGTGCCCCTCCAATACCCTGACTCTCTTTGCCCCCAGCCTGAGCCCGGGTGGCCCTGGCCCCCCAGCCCCCACGAACAGCCCAGGCCTGGGCAAAAAGCGCAAAGTGTCCTTGCTTTTTGATCACCTGGAAACTGGGGAACTGGCTCAGCACCTCACTTACCTGGAGTTCCGGTCCTTCCAGGCTGTCACGGTGAGGAACCCCGTCCCCAACTGGAGAGGGCTTTAGGTGGGGTGGAGCCTGCAAGGACCCCTGCATAGGAATTGGGCAGAGATTTCAAACTCTCAAACTTGGGTGCTAAAGATCTAGGAAAATGAATTAAGCTAACTGAGCACAGAGGGTTCAAATCCATCAGCCTCTTTTACCTGTGTAATTTTGAACTAGTTTCTCAACCTCTCTGGGACTCAGTTTTCTCATTTGTAAAATAGAGGTCATAATATTTCATTGGATAGTTGGGAAAATTAAATTCATATGTCCATCTAAAAATGCTTGTCGCAGTTTCTGGCACATAGTTAAGTGCTCAAAATATATTAATTATTAATTTATTCAAGAAGCATTTAAATTCACTTTTCCTGAGTTCCGTTATCTGCAAAAAGGGAGATTTAACAGCTCCTGCCTGATAGGATTACTGGCTGGTCCAGAGTAAACGCTATCGAGAGATCCATTTGAAATTGCCGTATTTTGTCATATTTTATCTGCCCAAACGGTCATTTCATATGCTTCAACTTATATATGTTGAAGCTATTGCCATCATCATTTAAAGAGGATCTGGCTCCTTAATGTGAAGATTTTGATTACACACACACACACTGCAGTTGTGGGTATGGGAAAGTTGACTCCTTGAGCAGAACAAACAAATTGCTTTCATGTCCTCTTCACCACCCTTCTCTTTGCTGACTATCTACTAGTCAGTTACAGTTAAGAGCAATAGATTAGGTTCCCAACCTGACTCACAGCTTGTGTTGCCCTGGGCAAATTACTTATTCTCTGTGCTTCAATGGCCTCATTTCTGAAATGGGAATAATATAGTATTCACGTCGAAGAGCTGATGTGAAGATTAAATTAGTTAATATGACAAAGGGCCCAAAATAGTGCCTGGCCTTATTTAAACATTTCTTCTCAGATGAGAGGGCCATGGTGACATCAGGGTCATGTTTCAGCCAGGCTAGGACCTCTAGAGGTCCCTACTGCAAGGGGGAGTGAGCGTGTGAGCAACGGGGCCTGGACGCCCCGGCCCCCCCTGACGCCCACCTCACTCCCAGCCCCAGGACCTGCGGGGCTACGTTTTGCAGGGCTCCGTGCGGGGCTGCCCGGCCCTGGAGGGCTCCGTAGGTCTCAGCAACAGCGTGTCTCGCTGGGTGCAGGTCATGGTGCTGAGCCGCCCCGGGCCGGCGCAGCGAGCTCAAGTACTGGAGAAGTTCATCCACGTGGCACAGGTGGGGCCCGCGCCGCGGGGCTGAGAACGCTCGCGCGCAGGAGTCTGACGCTCCGCTTTCCCGCTCCCTTGAGCTCAGCCCCAGCTGCGCAGCCCGGGTGGTGGCGTCATCCCAGCTCTGGTCCCGCCCCGTGACGCCACGCCCCACCCTGGCCCCGCCTCCGAGGCTTCAGCTCGGTTCCTCTCACCCCGACTGTGACGGCTACGGCGCCTTTTCCTTAGCTTTGCTATCACCGCGTCCAACCCGTCCTGGCTTCGCCCCTTGGCCCTAAACGAGGCTGTTGACTGCCCCCCTGATCCCGTCTTCTAAGCGCTGTGCCCGAATATCCCGAACGCGTTTTTCTTGCCCCCCGACCTTTGCGTCAGCCTCCACCTCAGCCCCTAGGCTCCAGCCGCCCCTTGCACAGAGACTGCATCCTTCCCCCTCACGTCAGGTCCCTGCCTGGCCTGCCCCGTGTGTCACCTCCCTTCCCCCTCCCTAACACGTACCGTACCTTCTGGAGAAAAGGGAAGCCCTCCTTCCCCAACCCGAACTAGCCGCGCCCCTTTGCGTACTTCCTCGCAGACCACGCCCTTCCTCCGGCGGCTTCCATCGCCGGGCTTCCCCTACCCTGCCCCTCAAACCTGGGACTTCTGGCCTCTGCCTGGGGTCTCTTCGGGCTAGGCGTCTTCCACCCCTCGTTGGCCCCACCCTTTCCCCATAGAGACCTCTCACCTTCAACTTGAAAAAGGGGAGGCCGACCCCACACCTATCTTTCGTGTTTGTGTGACCCCATCATGTCACCCTAGTTCCATTCACCTCTGCCTGGCTCCTAACCCCTGCCCACAGCCCAGGCCGCCTCCTCTCCCCACACCTGTCTCTCAGAACAGTCTGATCCCAGTGCCTGACACCCTGACAATTTTCTTAACCCCCAGCTCATGTCTAGTCCCTGAACCTGTCCAACTCCCCACACTTGCCTGATTACCCTCACCTGACTTTTTTCTGACGGCACATCAGTCTGTTACCTGCCTGACCCCCTGCAATACCCACTTACTTGTTCGTGCCTCACTCCTGCCTGACACATCTCACATGATACCCGCACTGGCCCACACCCACACCTCAAGTGGGATGCTGTCATCTGAGTCCCTGACTTGCTGGTCCCCGTGTGTTCCCACTATCCCTGTATCACCCTCCCTCCCTTAGATGCTGTACCAGCTGCAGAACTTCAACACACTGATGGCAGTCACAGGGGGTCTGTGTCATAGTGCCATCTCCAGACTCAAGGACTCTCATGCCCACCTGAGCCCCGAGAGCACCAAGGTGATCTTCCTCTACCCTTCTCAGCTTTCCAGCCATCAGTTGTCCTGAACCCCTGCACTTTTCCCCAAGCCCCTTCATCCCATGCAGGGGCCCTGGAGCCACCTAGAGACCTTGCTCCTCCAAATCCGACAGATCCCCAGACTCTGTTCTCCTGTCATTCTTCCTCCCTCCTCATCCATCTGTCCATTGTGCAGACCCTTTTCTATTCTCCATGTGTTGTCCTGAGTGGGAATGGAGGGGGACAGATGAGAGATGCTAGCAGAGAACTTGCGGTCGAGGTGGGGAGTGAAATGACATCCCTAAGGATGCCAGATTCGGGCCACCTATGGGAGGAGCAGGAGTTGAGGATGTCCTGAGAAATGTCTGGGGAGAGTGAGTCATTCATAAGGCTGGTGTGTGGCTGTGGTCAGGATGTGGCAGGAAATTAGGTTGGAGATGCCCCGGGGAGGTCCTATTGAGCCTGAAAAGTTGTCTGGGCTTAATCCAGAGGGTAAGGGGAAGCTAGGGAAGGTTTGGTAATGATGACAGCACCCACGATCAGATTTGGGTTTTGGAAAAATCACTCTAGCCTGGGAAATGGAGGATAGTGGGGCCTTTCTGAGATGGAGTCCCAAGAGGAAGAGCAGTTTGGGGAGATGTTGAGGCCATTGTGGGGCATGGAGGGACTCAGGGAAGTGTCTAAAATGCCACTGGGCCCCAGGCATCCAGAGCCCACACAGGAGGCTGCTAGAATACTCCCCTCCAGGGGGCTAAGGAAATGGAACTGGCCTCTGCAAAAACATGCCGCCCCTCCACATAATTTGCCCTACCACTCAGGCCCTGCTGGAGCTGTCTGAGCTCCTGGCCACCCACAACAACTACGCCTGTTATCGACGCACCTGGGCAGGCTGCACGGGCTTCCGGCTGCCTGTACTGGGTGTGCACCTCAAGGACCTGGTGTCCCTGCACGAGGCACAGCCTGACAGGTTGCCTGATGGCCGCCTGCACCTGTCCAAGCTCAACAGCCTCTACCTGCGGCTGCAGGAGCTGGCAGCCCTCCAGAGGCAGCACCCGCCCTGCAGTGCCAATGAGGACCTGCTGCATCTGCTCACGGTGAGCTGCCCAGCCCTGCCCAACCCGGGCTGGCCCCCCAGAGGCTGAGCCTGGAGGGTACTGAGAGTTAGGGTCCTGGGAGGATGAAGGGCTGCATGTCAGGATAGAATAACGCTGGGAAGCCTGGGCTTGGAAACCAGAGCTTCTAGCATGTTGTTTTTTTCCTACCTGTGTGCCCTTGGGCAAGCCACATAACCCCTCAGCTTCAGTTTCCTTATCTTTGAAACAGGAATAATAATAGGATGCAATTGAGAAAGTGACTGAGAAGACTCAAATCAGTAAAACCATTCATATGAAAGACTTAGTATCTGAACAGAGTGAGCGCTATATAACTGATGCTCCCCCCACACCCAGCCATTCCCCCAGCAACTCAAGTATCTGTTAATCTGACCTCTAGGATTGCTTTGAGCTTTCACACTCCTCAACTCCAAGGTTCTGAACTCATGTCACTAGGCCAAAATTCTGAGCTTTTACACACCCAGAAGTCTAAGCAAGAAGCTAATCACCATTATGGACCTCTTGCTGTGTGCCAGGCCCCATGTTCCATCCACAACCTGCGAGGCAAGAGGCCCTTATCAAGACCAGTCTACAGATTGGGAAACAGGTCCACAAGGGGAGGTCACATGCTTAGCGTCCCACAGCAGTATAACGGGATTTGAACCCAGACAGGCCAGCTTCAGAACCTGTGTGTTGACATGTTTGTCACCACACCACATCATAAGACTGGGAGTATGGGATTCTGTCATATTTTATTTTGTTAAGGAGCTATAAATTGAGAGTCACTGGGATTCTGAAGGCCACATAGTCTAAGACTGACTGTTAGTCCCTAAGACAGAACCAGCTATGTAATTTGCAGGGCCCAGTGCAAAATTAAATGTCAGGATCCTTGTTCAAAATTCTTGGAATTTCAAGACAGCAGCACAGTAAATGAAGTGGGGTCCTTCTAAGTGTGGGGCCTACCTGTGAAGTTGGCCTGGCCCTAACATGATTGGTGCCTAAGGCCCTATGCTTTGCTGATGCCAGAGCCCAAATATTTATTGATCACCTGCTGTGAGCCAGATGCTACTTGAGGCATTAGGTTCACAGCAGCAAGCACATCAAACAACAAAAAAATTGCTGTTCTTTTGGTGTTGACTTCCTAGTGGAGGAGAGACAGCCAGTAAAACAAAATAAATCAGTCAGTCATACGGTCTTTTAGATGATAAAGGCTATAGAGAAAATTAAGGCAGAAACAGGCAAGGAAAGCAACAGGGGTTTGCAATTTTAAATAGGATCAAAAAAGGCCTGAGACGGACGAGGGCAAAAAAAGCCTTGCTGGATGAGGGCACCGCAGTGTGGAGAGTGAAGGGGGGCTCAGTGGAAGAGAGGACCTAGGGGGCCCCAGGGAAGAGGGCCTTGGGAAGAGGATGAGGGTGGGGATCCTGGCAGGACACAGGCTGTAGGTAGGACGGAGACAAGGATGGTCTGTAACACCCTGCCCACCTCCAGCTTTCCCTGGATCTCTTCTACACGGAGGACGAGATCTATGAACTCTCTTACGCCCGGGAGCCCCGCTGTCCCAAGAGTCTGGTGAGACGTGACCCCTGACCTCTGACCTCCAGCGCAAGCCCATGCACTGACTAACTGTGCCCCTCTGTCCTTGCCCCAGCCACCCTCCCCCTTCAAAGCGCCCCTGGTGGTGGAGTGGGCCCCTGGCGTGACACCCAAACCGGACAGGGTCACCCTGGGTCGACATGTGGAGCAGCTGGTAGAGGTAGGAGGGGAAGAAGATACCTACCTGTACAGCCCTGCCCCCGGGGTGGAAATCTAAGACTGCAGGGGTCATGACTTGGCTTTATTCTCCCTTCCCATGTTCCTATGAAGTCCGTGTTCAAGAACTATGACCCTGAAGGCCGAGGAACCATCTCTCAGGAGGACTTTGAGCGACTCTCTGGCAACTTCCCCTTTGCCTGCCATGGGCTTCACCCACCCCCTCGCCAGGGGTAAGTGATCCCAACTCCTGAGTACCCCCAGGGCCACGATACCAGGGTTTACTGGACTCCTTGGTCAGGAAGAAGGGCCAGTCATGATGAGGTGCGATCTCTGTCCCCAGGAGTGGCTCTTTCAGCCGAGAGGAGCTGACAGCGTACCTGCTCCGGGCCAGCGCCATCTGTTCCAAGCTGGGCCTGGCCTTCCTGCATGCCTTCCATGAGGTCACCTTCCGCAAGCCCACCTTCTGCGACAGCTGCAGCGGCTTCGTGAGCACTCTACCCCCGTTACCCTTCAGGCCCGTCTTCCCTAGCGTCCTAACTCCTCACATCCTGGACTTGGAAAGCCAGACTTGCCCTTGAGCGCTCGCAGTCCCCCAGCACCAGAGAGTCCCCACATTCCATATGAACCCTCAACACTGGATATACCGGCCTCCAGAGGCTAGGTAATGCCCAAATCACAGATAATCTCCATCCTGGAAAACTGCCAGACCACGGACAAAATCTAAAGCCCTGCATGGTTACAACCCTGGGTTGTAGAATCAATCTCCAAGTCTCTGGACTCCAGATAATTCAAACCCTGAATAATTTCCATATTCAAAGTATCTTCCCTCTAGATAATGGACAGATCTCTCAATCTCCAAACGGAGACTAATTCATAAATTTTGGATTACTCCCCAAACTCACTCTTTCATTCACTAAGTATTTACTGAGCACCTCCTATGTGCCAGGCACAGTTCTAGACTGGAGGCGGGGAGTGGAGGAACACACACAATCTCTGCCCATAGAATTTATATTATTATCTCCAAATTTTTACCTAATCCTAATATCCTACATGACTCCCCAACCTCCTCCAAATTCCTTTCATCTTGAGATTCCACTTAAGCCTCTAGCCTTGAGAACCTAGATGGTTCCACACTCCCTCACCCGCCCCCGATCCCATCCACTTCTCTCCCCTAGCTGAGGTAACCTGTTCTGCTTTCTTTTCCCAGCTCTGGGGTGTCACCAAGCAAGGCTACCGCTGTCGGGGTGAGTGGGGCATCAGCGGTGGGGAAGGAATCCAGGACCTGCAGGCTGGAAGAATGGGGGCATGGACTGGGCCTTTGGCCACTGACTGCTGCCCTTCCCCCAGACTGTGGGCTGTGTTGCCACAAACACTGCAGAGACCGTGTGAAGGTGGAGTGTAAGAAGCGGCCAGACGTCAAAGGCGATGTGAGCCTCCCAGAAGCCTCTGTCTCACCCACACAAGTTCCCCATGCCAGCGGTGGTAAGACCCGAGGTGTGGCAGTCCTGAGAGCCTGCCGGGTGGGATTAGTTCCCAGGTCATGAGGCCCTCCCCATCATACCCACGTCCCTCCCACCCATCACCCCACAAACAGGCTCTGAGGACAATCTCTCCTACACACTATCCCTGGAGCTTGAGATGGGGTGCCACCTTCGCCATGCTTGGACCCAGACGGAGCCCCCACACCCTTCCTGGGAACCAGAGATGGTGAGAAGGAACTGCCCTCTACCCCCAACTGGATACAGGAGAGACCAGGGCATTTCCCTGCGGGAACCAAGTAGATCTGGGGAAGCGTAGGAAAGGAAAAATGTGCAAGAGGCCTCAGTTGCTTGGGCAGGAGGGTATAGATACTGGTTAATTTTTAATGGTGGTGGAAAAATGGAATTTTCAATATGTTTGTGGGGAAAGAAAAGGGGTAGCTGCAGTAGAACAGGAAAAGGATTTTAGGGAGAAAAAAGAAAAGATAACAAGAAGATGACAAGAATAAGGCCAAATGTATCAGGAGCTCTACTGTCACTGGAGTAAAGTCTACCATTCAAAAGTAGAGACTCTCAGATTGAATTAAAAACAGAAATCCACAGGGAACGTCCATTCATTCACTTAACAGAAGACTGAGTGAGCTTCTGCCCCTGGCGGCAAGATGCCTCCTAGATACCACGCGCTCCCCTCATCACCCAATGTCTTCCTCCTTCCAGGACCCTCTGCCAACGACCGCCTCGCCACCCACCCAGTCCTCTAAGCCCAACTCCTAGACATCACCTTTATCTCCTTTCTCTCTCCTCCCCAGAGTCAGTTCCAAGTCCTGTTATTCCGCCTCGAGCAGAAAACCCCGGAAGGCATCGCCTCCTTCCCATGCACACTGCCTTCGTGGACAGTCAGTCCCCTTTTGCATCAGAGTACCTACTCATTGTACTGTCCCTCCGTGTACTAGGGCATGTGTGCAACATGTCGAATACATTTACGTTTAGATGTAGGCATCATCTCACCAACTCCTTCAATCTCCGTTTTACAGATGGGGAAACTGAGGCCCAGTGAGGTTAAGCTGCTCTCCCAAGGTGGCAGAGCTCTTAACTGTTAAGGCAGGACTGTAACCCAGGTTTTCTGTCTGCTTGTGAAACAGAAGCCCCTGACCATTAGGCCACACTGACAGCATGGGCCAGCAAGGGGAGAGGGGAGACTGGGCAGAGTTCTGGAGAGGGAGGAAGTTAGAGAAGGGCTGGAACAGGGAGCCCGAGTCAGGCCACATCCCTCCCCTGTGCAGAGCCCCTGTGTGGCTCCTTCTCAGGGGGAAAGCCGGAGGCCTCACTGCAACCCACCTGACGCAATCCCCACACCCCACCATCACCTCTCCAACCCCACCTCCCACCACTCACCCCCTGACTCATCCTGCTTCAGCTACACTGGCCTTGATGGTCCCTGAACATGCCAAAGATACTCCTACCTCAAGGCCTTTGTACTGGCTAGTCCCTCTTCCTGGAACACTCTTCCCCAGAGGCCCAAATGGCTCCCCCCTCTTTGGGACTTAACTCAAGGGTCACTTTCTCAGTGAGGCCTCCCATGACCATAACCAAAGTTGTAATCCCCACCAAGTGGCAATCCTGCCTTCCTGCTGGATTTTTCTCCAAAGTCGTTTTCCCATCTGATAGACAATACTTTCTACCTATTTATATTGTTGAATGTCTGCCCCTCCTCACCAGAAATGTCAGCTCCAGGAGACAAGGGGTTTATATTATCTTTATCTTTCCCTGCTATACACCCAGTGCTTAGAACAGGGCTGGCACGTGGTGAGTACCTGAGAAAAGTCTCTCGAGTGCCTCAGGCCTCCTTCCCTATGCCCATGTGAAGGGAAAGATGTACTGCTGAAGAGCAAAGGACTCTGAATGTCAGGGCAGTGGGGCCTGTTGAGACCCAAGGGACAGAGACCCCTTACTCCTCCTCAAACCCACGCACCCGGCCCCCAGCGAGATAGGTCCTATATCTGTCATAAATTAATTTTATTTTCCAGAGAACATGGTCCTTGGTGTCGAGTGGTGGGTCAGGGGGAGGACATCTGAGGTCTCAGGAATGGGTTGTGGGGCCCACGTGTCAAGAGAAACCCTCAAACAGACTCCTCAGAAATGGTCACTGGCATCAACACCTCACAGACAATCCCCCCACCCGCTACCACCAGTCTCCCTTTACTTCTTCTTCTTCTTGCGGCCCCAACACTGGCGGCCCACCTTCTGTCTGCTTCCGTCCTCTCTTCTACTCTGCCACCTGGGCATGGGCGCCTCCAGCTCACTTGGGCGGCCCCCCCGGTCTGGCATGTTGCCCATAAGCACCTGAGAGTCGATTAGACATGAGTTTCAGTAGAAGAAAAATATCCTGGACAAGGGAGCCAAATGAACAGCGTGAAGTTGAAAAAGGAAGGCTGATGTTGACTAATTGAGTACAACAGTGGCAGGAAGCAGGGGCCTGGACTGGTGGAAGATAATACAGGACTGAAACTTTTCAACTGGCCTCAGCAAGAAGGAAATAAGGGGAGGGTGATGGCAGAGGCCCCATCCCTGCTAGTATTAACAAGGACACCTCAACTTTTGTCTATTTCATATTTGGGCTTTGTATAACAATTCCAACAAACCAGTGTTCTATTTGTTCTTTTTAATGTGCACCACCTATAATATTACTTACTTACTATATTTCTTTAAATCAAATGTTTTTTCTGAACTTAAATTTTGCCTCACCTTTGCTGTACTAGATTGTATTCCCTAAGATTCATCCACATAAATGTAAGACTATTTAAATAGAAGTAGGGGGCTAAATATGTAATCATTTAAACAGAGGGTATTTCTGCTTTAAAAATAGTTAAAAATGAAGGGGGGAGCCTAGTAAACATAATGTTCCTCATGTAATTGTAGATTAATGATACCAAAAAAAAAAAAGTTAAAAACCAGTACAATGGATAGGTTGAGGTAGGGGAAGGGGGAGGATTTTAAGCCAAAGCTGAATATGTAGACAGGGGCTCAGTAAATAGTTGGACTCTGTTTTGCAGGCACTGGGAAGCCATCAAAGGGTTTTGAGCTAGGGAGAGACATGGTCAGATTTTTGTGTTAGTGAGGTCCTGACTGCCATGTGGAGGGGGTGGTAAATTAGAAGTGGTGGGTCCAGAAGCCAGGAACCCAGGCAGGAGTGGACAAGCCTGGGTCACAGCAAAGGCTGAAAGGCCAATTTGAAGGCCAAGGATGCTGGGACCCTTCTCCACTGCCAGGTACCCACCTTGTTGATGGCACAGCAGGTCCCCTGACGAGCAGCCTTGCTGGTGGCTGGGACAAGATGAGACAGGTCAGCTCGGGCAGCCAGGACGTGTGCAATAGAGACATCTGATGCTGGAGTCAGAACCTCTTGAATTGGGGTCAGCACTGCCTTTATGACTTCTCCTTGGGCCTGAGGAAGGGGCATGCAGAAGGTGGCCAAGAGCCCCCCACCCACCCAGGTGGGATCTGTCATCTTGGAAGCATCTCTTCCCCACTCCGGGCCTCACATCTCACATCTCTAAATAACGGGGTATAGCTCTGAAGGCACTCCCAGCTCAGAACTGGGAATTTCTAGAATGCCCTCGGGTCCTTGAGATTCTACAGCCCCAAACCTTGCAAGGTTCTAAAATGCCCTAGGCCTTAGAACCTGCAAGAGGGTACTCTTCCTGGCTTCATTCTTCCTGCAGTAGCAGCTCCACAGCTGGGCCTCACTGCTCCTGCTAAGGTCCTCTGCCCTCACCTCTGCCCTGTCACTCCAACAGAAAGCAGATATTGTGAGGTCCAAGCGCTTGAGGAGCAGACGGCGGCGGCAGAAGTATTGATCTCCCAGGCTTTGGGACAGAAACTCCAGTGCCTCCTGGAGAAAAAGGTCTCAGTTACGTGAGGGGTCCCCCTCCTATCTCTGGGTGAGGACACTGTTCATAGACAGCCATACACAGTCTTACCCATCTAGGTGCATCCAGTGGGTGGCTGAGGAGGGCCTGCAGGGACCCTGGGGGCAGGGAAGGCAGCAGCTCTGAGATCTGATGAGAGAAGGAGGAGTTTGAGGCTGACTAGGCAGAAACCAGATGAACTCTCCATGGACTCCAGCTCCCCATGGCCCTGAAGACCCAGGCCACGGAATCAAGAAGAGAGGTCACGGCTCTAGAAAGGTCTAAAAAATCGAGGTACAGCCCATTCCTGCAGCTGGGGCACTTCAGCCAAAACAGCTTTTGGAGAGAGGACATTCCTGCTAAAAGGAAGGTGGGGTGGCCTAGGTGTGGGGGCGCTCCTGCTTTCTACCTTGGCATGCAACTCCCACAGCAGCTGGCTGGCAAGGGTCCCTTGCGTGGGTCTGGGCAGCTCCAGAGCTTGGAGGGTAAGGACAAGTTCCTGGACCACTCCAGCTCCCTTCTCTGCTCCTTCCCAACTGGACAGCACAGGTCTGGTATTCCGCCGGGCATGCAGGCGGAGGAGGCGGGCAGCCTGGAGCTCGGAGCAGAGAAAGCCTAGAAGAAGGGAAAGGAAACGGTGCAATTAAGGAGGGCTGCTACCCCACCCACCGGGGTCAAAAAGCTCCTCCGGTTTTAAATCCTCCCGCCTTCTAGATCCGCCTGGCTCCACCTTAGGAATAAGTTCCACCCACTTCGAGACCCAGTCTCCCCATCAGACTTCGAGCCCCGCCCACTTCTGAATCACCTACGTGATCTAAGCCTAACTCAATCCACTGGAGCTTCAAGGCCCGCCCATCAAAACGTTAACCCCGCCCATCGCAGAACCTTAAACCCGCCCCAATGTTCCGACCCCACCCACCTTGGACTCTAGCCTGCCTCAAAATTCTGACCACGCCCCTCAGGAACTCTGGCTCCACCTCAATGTGCTGAGCCCGCCCCTCTAGAGGCTGTAGCCTCGCCCACTTCCGCCTGCAGGGCGCGCCCCGGACTCACGCAGCAGGCGTAGGCACGCGCCGGGCTTCCGCAGAGCTGCTGCGCAGTCTCTGCCGCAGAGCGCTCGGTCTGGGCAGTGCAACTCCCGTAGCAGGCCCGCCAACTGGCGCAGAAATTCCTCCTCTCCGGGGCCTGTGGGAGGCGGGAGACGTCAGAGCGCGGCAGCGGTAGCGGCGGCTCCACCTCTTCGGGCCTCCAGTTTCACACGTACCGTCGCCGGCGCTCAGCGTCTCAGCGCCCTCCTCCCGCTTCCAGGCTCCCAGAGTCGCCAGCTCCGCTGCCAGCCACGCGCACAGCGCCCTGAAGTCGGGGCACGGGGTGCCCAGAGGCGCCGCCCCCAGGAAACCCTCATACCTGCGGGCGAGCCGAGGTAGTGGGGGAGGTCAAGTAAGAATTTCTGAGGGCAAACCTGCCCCTTTCTGCACCCTACCGCCAGCCACACCCCTGTCCCTTACCCCAGGGCGAGCAGATCCTGGGCCACCGCGGCCCGCTCCCCGGCCTCCGCCCCCTCCATGAAATCGTCGACTCCCGGTCAGTTGCGCGCCCCCTGCCGGCCGACAGGAGGCCCCGCCCCAAGAGCGGCGTGCGCACTCAGCCCCCGGCGTAACGGTTGGTGCAGAAGGAAGCCGAACCCGCCGCCAGGTCTGCCGGCGCTGAGACATAGGAAAACCAGACTTCCAGGGCTCCATAAACGCCGCTGGCTCTGTAAATCCAGGGCGTGCGTTCAGCATTCCCGCTGTCGCGAAGGGCCAGCGGGTGTCGCTGCTACTGCGACACAGAAGCGATTTCGGTTTTCTTTTCCTCAACTTCCCTCAGATGCCCTCTGTTCTTAAAGCACTCTAGATAGTGTTGTTCTCTCAACTTCGTTCCATATGCAGAAACTTCTTTCCTACTTAGGGATGGAATTATGTCAGGGACCCAGGGACGCACACACAACACAGGCCCCCCTCCCTCATCAATCACAAGGCGCCCATTGGTCCTCTCCCTTCTGCCTCCCTTAGCTCTTGGACAGAGGGAGCACGTGCAATATGCCATGGTGATTATGAGATTGCACCGTAGGAGTTAGGCTACAAGGGTTAGGGTTTGACTCCACCACTCACCATCTACGTCTGTGTCCTTGACAGTTACTTCCTCATTGTAAGTGGGAATAATACTACTACTTACCTCTTAAAGTTGTGAGGATTAGAGTCCTGTATGTAAGAGTTTAGTAGACATACAGGGGATGCTCAGTTAAGAATAACAATTATTGACCATTCTGTGTGTGCTACTGGGTTCAGTATCTTTATCTGCATTTGACAGAGGAGAAAACTTAGGTTCATAGAGGGTAAGTCACAGAGTGAATGTGTGGTGGTGCCAGGACTCAAAGTCAGATCTGATTCCAAAGTCTCTGCTTTAACCACTTAATCTATTATTACTGTTATTGTTACTGCTTTTGTTGATGTTGTTGAAATTATCGTTCCAGAATTAATCTCTTGCCGACTCTATCCTAATCTCTAGTAGTTCCTAGATAATTCTCCTGGGAGCCGGGATGGTCTGGGAGTAGAGCCTAGAACAAGGGCCAGAACTTGTTGCTCAGGGGCTGACCCTGCCCTTAATCTGGTTCCTCCACAGCCCTGCCTACCCCAAAGCTAGGTACTCAGAGGGTCATTTGTTGACCTTAATGAAACATTAAAAATTGCTCAGACCAAAACCTTAGAATCATAATCTTGATTTTTCTTTACAGAGAACTCCATATCTAAATCTGTGAACTTTACCTTCAAAATAGATGCAGTATCATGCCCACTTCTCCCCACCTCCACTGCTCTCTTCCTGATCCTGTACACCATTGTCCCCACTGCATCATCACAGTGGCCTTCTCCCTGGCTCACTGCCACCCTCCACCCCCACCCTAGTGTCAGGCAACCAGAGGCAACCTGTGAACACTTGAGTCAGGCACATTCCTCCTGTGCTTGGAGCCTTCCTGTAGCTCCATCTCACTGAGGTGAACACAAAATTCCGTGGAGTGGCTTGCAAGGCCACAGGGATCTGCCCAGTCCCTGCTCTGGCCTCATCTCCTAAATTCCCTCCTCCTTGTTTCCACCCATCCAGACACTCAAGCTCCCTTGATGTCCCTCCAGCTTACCAGGCGCTCTCCTCCCTCAGGGCCTTGCACTGACATGGGCCTTTTCCTGAAATGCTCTTCACAAAGACATCCACAGGTCTCCCTCACCTCCTTCAGTCAATTCAAGGGCTTTATTCAAATGCTAGCTCCTCTGTGAGGTCTCCCTGACCACCCTAGCTAAAATTGACTGTAATCCCCCATCTCCACTTTTTTCCCCCTCTTTAAAAGATCATTTCTAACATGTCATTTATTATCTCCTTCACTATGAAGTTCATAAACCCCTGTGGGGAAGGATTTTTTCTGTTCTGTCCACTGCTCTATCCCCAGTGCCCAGAAAAGGGTTTGGCATATATAACGGATGTTCAATAAACATACTTGTTGAGTGACTGAATGTATAAAACTCAGTTGGAGGGCCTGTTTGGGGACAACAGGATGTGAAGGAGAAAGACATTGGATAGGAAACTGGTGGTTCAAGGTGAGTGGATGGGGCGCATCAATGTAAATACAGAACACAGGCTGAGACTTTGTCACAGACTTTTTTTGGAGCGAATATCTCATGCCCCTCCCCCGATGACAAGGCTGGGTCTTTGACCCCTTCCTCCACCACCACTTCAGCCTGCACTGACGATAATAATACTGAAGTCACAGACTGGCTTGGAATCAAAATCAGGAAGATAAACGTTGGAGTGCGTTCCCCAGGTCTGGGGGCCAAGCATCCAATCTGAGGGGCAAGCAGCTGGGAAATTGGGCCTGGAGGCTCCAGGATCTGAGGTCTTCCTGGCTCCCAGGGTCAGCCCTCCATGCACCCCTGCTTTGGGGGTGATGAAGAGTAATCATGGATCAGAGGTGGGTGTCAGCAGGGAACAGGACTGGGAGACCTGGGAGAGGTGGTGCTGGGGGGTGGGGGCTGGGGGACACCTTTCCCCAGCCCCCATCACTTGATCCGCAGATCCCACAGCACCTTACAGCACTCTGGTCCCCTGTCCCACCCCTCCCCAAAACGAGGTAGGTAAAGAATGGAGCTTCCTCCCGCCCACGAGGGGAGGGAGGAGACTGAGGCACAGAGAGGGGGATGGGGACCCAGGCTGTCCCAGCCCCCAGTCCCTCCCCTCTCAGCTCTGGTGGGTCTGACAGTGATGAGAGCTGGGCAGAGTGGGGATAGGAGGGACACCCCCCTTTTCTCTCACCCATTCCAGGTCTGGTTGGGAGAGCTGAATCTCACAGGTTCCGGATGTAGTAAATAGTTAATAATTTAAAGGAAGTGACAGAAGGCTCTACCCCTTTGATCCCCTTGACCTATCCCCTGAACCCCCTACAAGGCATCAAAGTCTGGGCAATGAAGAAAGATAAGTGCATATCTCCAGATACAGGGGACCAGATGCGAGTCCCAAGCCCATACAATATTGAGATTGTCTTGCTCCAAGACCTTGATCTCCCTTCAGGCCATCAGATCTAAGGTACCCTGGAAGTCCCATTCCACTCAGGAAAAGGAGATAGTGGCATCCCCCTTCCCCAGAAAAGAGGTCTAAAAGAGGCTTTCAAATTTTCTGAAGCAATCCCAACTCTAAGATGGGAGCGAAGGGGTTAACAGAAGGCAGAATGTTAAAAAGCATGGACCAGGGCTAATGCTCAAGGCTGGGTTTGGGGCTGAGTCTGCAAGGCCTGGAATTGTGTGAGAGAGACAGATACACACACACACACATGGACACCTTCCTCTGAGGGCACAGTGTGACCAGCACAATGCGATGTGAATTTCAGCCGTGCTCGCCACCTTGCCTGTGCACCGTCACTTAGCACATGGCCTGCACAATCGTCTATGGCAATGCTTGGGACCTAGCGATGGGAGGGGAGGAGCTCTCAGACGGCCCTGGAATCTAGGAACAGGAGCTCCAAGTGGTGGGGTTTTTCTCCTAAAAGAGTAGTTCTGTGGGATGCTGGGGGCTTGGGCTGGAGTCCCTGGGATTAGAATTTCAGAGTCTGGGAATTTAAGGGTCTCAAGAGCCTATGTATGGCAGGATTCAAGGGGCAGCAGATCTCAGGGAATATCAGGCTAGAGAGGTTTAAATTTTTAAAAATCTAGGATCTGAAGTTGCTAGGTCCTGGGGTACCTCAGATATGTCTCTGGCATGGAGCGACCAAGATCCTGGGTCAAGGACAATCCCAATGTTGTGTAGGCTTGAGCTCTGAATTTGGGGGGTCAGTGGCACCTTGGGGTCTTGGATCCAGTGCTCCTAAAGCACCTTGGAGTCACTCATGGGATGGGGGCTGAGGGGTCAGAGGTGTGGGTTGCCATGAACACCTCATCTCCCTGGAGCTGGGCTCCCCAGTCTTTAGGGATCTGTGGGTACAAAGAAGTCAAAGATTCCAGGACCTTCTGAGATTTGAAATTCAAGTACAAAGGGGATTGGATGAGGACAGAGGACTTGGGACCAGTGTCTGGGACCCTGAGGTGTTGGTGGCTTTAGTCCTACATCTGAGGATACTAGACACCTCAGAGAGTCCTACGTTTGAGATTCAAAGCTCCTGGGAAGACTAGTTTGGGGTGGGTGGACCTACAGACGTCTTTGATTCCCGGCTCCCAGAGTATCTTGGAGTCTGACATCTCAATTTTGGAATAGAGATGGGGGTGGGGGCTTTGAGATGAGTCTCCCAAGTCATTTTGGTCAGAGAACATCTGTTTGAGCATATCCAAGGACTCAGGGTATCTTAAGAGGGTTTGGTATCTCAGGGGTCCTGGGGCAAAAAGAACATCTCAAATACGGGTACCCCAGATTTTAGATGAGCATTCAAGGACCATTTGCGTGATTCTGGATCCTGTGGTCTCAAGATCCGGGAGTAATTGAATAGGGGGAGGGTCAGGAATTAACTCCTAATTCTGGGGCTGTAATCTGACAGTTCATGGTACCAGGCATGACTAGGTGTGGGATGGCTATTTGATGGGGGGGGGGGGGGTTCCAGGGCCCTGCCACTCTCAGGTGGTCCGTGTGCTCTCCAGCCTGCCTGATGTGCAGAGTCTGGGTCTCTCCAGTTTAGGTTGGGGTGGGGTGGGATCAAGAGGTGTGACAAGGACGCCAGAACTCAGGATGCCTGGGACCTCTTGGACAGACATCCCAGTGAAGATGCATCTGGGATCTCAGTCCTAGGTTTGGGGTCCAGGTTCTCTCAATCCAAACTCAAGCTCCAAGTTCCAGATGTGCCTAGGTTTGGGTTTTGGGTCCAAAAGGAGTCCGGGTCCTGGACCCTCAATGTTGGGTCCTCGGTCCGGCTACCGGACCCACCAGACCGTCTTCACCGCGCTGCCTCCTCGTGGCGACCCCCGCAGCCCGCACAACCACATCGCGCTGCGACCCAGTGGCATGCGCGCAGGGGCGCGTAGCAGCAGAGGCAGGGTACTGCCAGGGAGAGCGCGGCCAGTGCGGCCCAGCGCGCGGCAGGGCGCGGGTGGCCCGGCTCGCAGGCGCACGGGTCCGAGAAGTCGCCCTCGGCGTCCGACAGGCAGTGGTAGAGCAAGCTCTCGGCGCACCACAGGCAGCTGAGCCGGCGCACCAGCAGGCGACCCGGGTCCGGCGCCTCTGCGCAGCGGCCGCCACGCCCGTCAGCGCGGCGGCGGAAGAGCGCGCGGCAGTGGACGCACCGCGCCGCCTCCTCCGCCTCCGGGGACGTCTTGGCCGGCGCAGGTGCCAGGCCGGGGCCCGGGGGTGGGCGAGCCGGGGGTTCTGGGGGCGCAGCCTCGGTGAGAGGGGCGGGCAGTGAGGCGGGGGTACCCAGGGCTGCACCTCTCAACGCGCCGGTCTTGGCGAAGCGCACGACGCAGGTGGACAGGGCGAGGGGCGCGGGAGGCCCGGCGCGCCGGTAATCCTCATAGCCTCGGCCGCCCCATCCCGGTGCCCCTGCCCCGGCCAGGGGCTCTGAGGGCTCCGGAATCCCCGTGAACTGTAGGAGTGGAGGGTAGCTCTGCGGGACGAAGGGACAGGAGAACAGTTTTAGCGGGGTCTGTGAACCCCCGCACCCCACCACCATCTGTCCCAGTCTCAGAAGATCCAAAAATCCAAAGACCCAGCCACCAGGCCACATTCATCGTAGGGAACCCGTCCGGGGATCCTGAGTGTCTGGGTCTGGCACTCAGACTTCCAGGACCCCAGCCCACTCTTCTCTCAGGGACAGAGTTAATCTAGGGACAGACCCAAGAATCCAGGCACCAAACGCACAACCTAAGGACCCAGTGGTCCAGGCTCCCAGTCCTGTCCTTTCGCAAGGTCCGGGAGTCCCAGCACGCTGGCCCCTCTACTCTCAGATCTAGCCGTCTCCTCAGGACGCAGGAGTCCGGGCTGTCCCCAGTAACATTTTATCCCCGGGGATACCGAGCCCCGCCTGGTGAACCGTCTAAAAAACATCCTTCCAAAGGTACCAGCAACCCCCTAGAATGCCGGCAGAATTAATTGTCCAAGTCATCCCCCGAACCCGTCTGAATTCAGAACTTTCCAAAATCTCCAAGGCCACAGGAGACACGGGAAGCCCTCGCCCAACCCTCCGATGACCCCCAAATTAATACAGGCCACCAATCTCTTAGGATCTGACAGTGGTTTCTTGCCATCTGGGGCCTCAGTTCTCTATCACTTCGGGACTCTAGCGTCTGCCCCATTTCACCGGGAGCCCCAGACTTCCGCTGGGGGTGGGAATTCGCACCTGAGCGGAGGAGCGGCGGCGCTGGTGGGGCGTGGCCGGCCCGAAGCCAGAAGCTGACTCCACGGTGATGATGGTGGCCGCCGCGGTGGCGGTGGGAGGTGTCTCCTGGTGGCTGTGACTGGAGGAGGACTCGCTGTCCACGTGGGACTGGAGGAGATTGGCGCCCTCAGAGCCGGGACCCCCAGCACAGCCGACGCCCTCACATAGACCCCCCCCTCCCATTGCGATCAAGGGCTCTATGGCAAGACTGGCTTGGGTTCAAACCCTGGCTCTGCTACTGACTGGTTGAGTGACCTCTGGTAAGTGAGCTTATCCCTTTGAGCCTCAGTTTCCTCCTCTGTAAAATGGGGATCATAGTAGTGTCTATTCATAAAGATGTGTTTAGGACCCACAATAAAGGGCATAACACACACCTCAAGTACAATAAGAGCTAGAAATGGTTATTGTTATTATTAATTGACCGCCTCTTATTTGCTCACCTCACCAACTTACAGAACATCAAATCATCCTCCCTTCTCAGAAACCCATCTCTGTTGGCCCGTCAGCCACCTTCCTGCCTTATTCCCAGCACCACACCTTTGTTGGGCCAGTTTTATGTAGCTGGAATTCGTTCCTTCCCAACCAAACCAAGCTCTGTCTATTACAAGTTGAAACATCACTTCTCATACCCTTGATTTCCTTTCTGTAAATAGGGGATCACCACTACCTCATCCATTTACTATCTTCAATAAACATTCATCGAGCACCCACGACATAGCAGGCTCGCCAAGGCCATTGTGAGGATGTGAGATGCAGCACAGGAAGCACAGCATCTTTTCAGAGTAAGTGCTCAATAAGTGGGAACTGCCTGTGTGGGTTTTGTAGACCCACCTGTGTCTCCATCACCCTTATGATTTCCACTTTCCTGCCCAAGGAACCCGTTTGGTCCATCCAAGCATTCTCAGTAACTCCCACTGTTCCCAGCAAGTGCCAAATCACATCGGACATTATGTGCATTTATTCATTCAATAAATTTATTCAACATATATTTACTGAACACTTACTGTATACCAGGCACTGTTTTAGGCACTGGAGATACAGCAAGAAAGCAATAAAAGTCCTTGCCCTCCTGGTGTTGACAGTCTAGCATGGGAGATAGACAGGAAACAAATAGATAAGAAAGCTGGCTATTGGGAAAGAAAAATAGGGAAACTATTTTAGAAAATGAGAAAAAAATTAGAACAGGATAAAGAGCATTGGGAGATTGCAGTTTTAAACAAGTCATTCAGGGAAGGTCTCAGTGAGAAGAAAATCAAGGAATGAGCCATCTAAAAGTTTGGGGAAGTATTCCAAGACAGAAGGAACAGCCAGTGCAAAGGCCCTGAGACTGGAAAATGCCTGTTGGTTGGAGTAATAGTGGGGAGGCCATGTGGCTGGAGTATAGCAGGCAAAAGGGACAATAATAGGGAGTCAGATGGTCCAGGGTAATTTATGCCACTCTAAGGGCTTTGTCCTTCACCCTGAGTGAGATGGAGCCCTGGGAGGGTTCTGAGTGGGGGAAGGCCATGATTTGACTGAGATGTCAAAAGGGTCCCTCTGGCCATATGTGGTGAATAGACAAGAGGGATAGGAGGGGGGCAGTTGATAATGAAAAGCTGGTGAGATAGTCCAGTTGGGATATGAAGTTGGACAGAACTAGGTTGTAGGCAGATTCTGATCCATTTTGAAAATGGAGCCAATTTGCTGATAGATTAGATGAAGGGCATAAAACAGGAGAGGAGTCAAGGGTGACTCAAGGTTTGCACCCGGAGTAACCAGAAGGATGGACTCATTAACTTGTTCATCCATTTACTTTTAATATCATTCATTTTACGGTTTATCTATTTTCTTAATTTAATTTTCTGCCTTTCTGCACTAGAGTAGAAGCCCCAAGAGGAAAGGTACTTTGTTTTGTTCACTGATGTAGCCCCAGTGCCTAAAATTCTACTTATTGAAGATGCTCAATAAATACCCTTGAATGAATGATAGAACAGAAAAACTAGAATAACTGAGACTGAATGACACTAACAGTTTGGGCCCAAATTTGGATCCCCAGCATGTGGCATGGTGCCTGGAACACAGTAGGTGCTCATGAATATTTGCAGGATGGAGATAAACCCTGGCCCTCCCAGCAGAGCTGTGTCCTGGAGACTCACCGTCAGAGGGCAAGGAGTCTCTGCAGTGTCCTGGGAAGGGGAGGAGGAGGTGGAGGAGGAGGAGGGGGTAAGCGAGCCTGAGGGAGGGAGAGAGGCAGACAGTGAATTCCCTGAGCCCCAGCTTCTTCCACCCTTCCACCCCAGCCCCCAGTGCCCACTGGCACCACTCACCTCGACCCAGTGCTGCCAGTGCAGCCAGCAGGCTCTTCTGGAACTCATCAGCCTCTGCAGGACTCTGAAATGTTAGCCCAAACTTGCAGTCACCCAGGCTCCAGTGATGGAAGATGGGGTTCACCTTGTTGTAAACCAAGCCCGGCCTCAAGGTACACTCCAAGGTGGTCTGAGGAGGCAGGAGGGGACCAGGTCAGATACCCACTTCCAGCCATGACTGTGACTTCCTCTCACCCCTGAGCCTCTCTGCATGTCCCAGCATCCCACAAACCTCCTTGCTCAATCCTAGGTGTTCCCCATCACCCTGATCAACACCCCACACTGCTTCCCAATTTTATTGAGCACACCTCTGATATTCCAAAATCTCCCCCAAATCCATTGATCCCTGAATTACCCTAATACCACCCATAAAGCCCAAAAGAAATCCCAAATCTTATTGAATATCTCAAAAATTTAGTTAACCCTCTTCTGGTGACCCAATACCCCTCTTTCTGACTCAACAATACTTCCCAGACATTACTAAACATCTTAAAGTATTACTGTTAATCTCCTTCTGATGCCAATAATCTCCCAAAATGCTACCCCCTCCCAAATTCTTATCAAACCCCCACAGGATTCCCCTCAGATGCTTGTCAACACCTTGGGTATTCCTGCCTATCCTTGCCCAACATCTATATCCCTTCACACCATCTCAGATCCCCTCCATTGTTCCTGCCAACCCCTGCTCTGAAATACAGCTCTTCCCTCAAGGCTTTTCAAGCAATCCAAATCTCTCTACTCCATCCCCAGAGGAAACTTCAGCATTATCCTTCCAAATCATGCCCAATTGCCCAGAATATTCCTGCTGAACCCACATAGGATTGTAAACCCTATGGGCACTTCCAGATGGTCCCCCATCAAATGCCTCCATATACTTAGGGCAGACAGGGGCCAGTGGTGCAGGCCTCCTGGTGAGTATCTCTGAGCAAGATGGAGCCTCAGGAGGGTTCCCAGCAGAGGAGGAATATGACCTGAGTCAGGTGTTAGCAGGGCCCCTGTGGAACAGACTGAGGTTGGGGGAGGGAGCTGGAGTAGGGCAAGGAGTCCAGTGAGGAGGCTATTGTGACAGTCCAGCAGGTGATGGCAGTGGACAAGGACCTGCTTAATACCCGAAATATTCCCCAAACTCCCAACTCTTATCCATAGGACAGATATTCACTTTCACTCTCCATCCCACACCTGCACTTGATTCTGGGCTGGGACAGGACTCAACTCGCCTCTGCTCTCCCAGCCCATTCCCCTACTTCCCCGTGCCCCACCCCACCCCCACGCCCCAGGGTGGCTCACTTTCTGGTCCCGGAGGCGCTCCCCGTGGATGACGTAGTGCCCCTGGCGGGCCCCCCCCTCGGGCCTGGCCCCTCGGACCCGACATACGCTCACCTGGCTGAGGCCCCCGCCCCCCACAGGCAGCCAGCCCCCACTGGAGTCATCTCGGGCCATCACCACAGCTCGGACCTGAACCATGTACCTGGAGGGAGTGAGGAGACAGGGGCAACACAGTCAGAGAGCTGAAATCTTGCTCTCCCAGTCCCTGTTCCCCCAACCCTCATTACCTCTCTTCATCTCACATCTGGACCCACTGCACCCTCAGCCACCCAATCTCACCTTCCCTTTCATAACCACATTCTCCCCCATGCCCACCTCCTCCCTCATGCCCACTGTCTTCCCAATGTCCACCTTCCCCCCATTTGCATCTCCTCCCCCATACACACCTTCTTGCCCACAGGCACCTTCTCGCCTATGTCCATCTTCCCCCATGCTCACCTTCTCCCCATACCCACCTCCTCCCCCATGCCCTCCTTTCCCCCCATATGCACCTTTCCCCCATATGCATCATCTCCCCACGCCCACCTTCTCCCCCTGTGCCCTCCTTTCCCCACCATGTGTGCCTTCTCTCCATACCCACCTTCTCCCCATGCCCACCTCATTCCTGGTGCCCATTTCTCCCTAATAACCACCTTCTTCCCAATGCCTTCCTTTCCGCCATGAGCACCTTCTCTCCCACACCCATCTTCTCTCTCTGCCTGCCTCCTCCCCATAGCCCACCTTCTCCCCAATACCCATCTTCTCCCCATGCCCACCTCCTTGCCGATGCCTACCTCTTCCCCCATGCCCACCTCCCCATACCACCTTCTCCCCCATGCCCATCTTCTCCCTCATGCCCACTTTCTTCCAACATGACGTCTTTCCTTCTCATGCCATCTCTTTTCTCCCCTGCCTACCTTCTTCTCCATATCTACCTTTTCCCTCTAGAACCACCTTCATCCCTTTCCCCAAATTTGTCATCCTCAGCCCCCACAGCCTTGGTTTTCCACTTCCCTTTCCCCTGCTGCTCATCCCCTATCAACCCTGTCTCCTTTTCCTTCCTCAGCAGAGCCCCACAGCCCCACCCATCCTTCCCCCTCACAGCTGGGTGCCTGCGCATATGTATTTTCTTAGAGTCCTTCAACTCAGCTCCAGATCCCCCTATACTGCCTCCACACCCTGCCGCCCAGGCCACTGGCTGGGTGAGAAACCCAGGCTCTCTTCCCCCCACTCCTTCCCGGATTTATGAATGAGACCGGATGCAAAGCTCACTGAGTCACCCAGCAACGGAGATGGGCAGGGAGCAGGGAGAGAACCAGAAATGGCCAGAGAGGCCGAAAGGGAGATGGAGGCAGAGGAAGCCAGAAACGGGCGACCGAGACACATTTAGAGAGCATTTCATTCACAAAAACCAAGTCTGTTCCCTCTGGCCCTAGCTGAAGGAAGGCAAAAGGGGAAGATTCGGGGGTAGAGGTAATTGATCCCACCTCCACCCCCTCCCCGCCCCAGCATCCTTCAGAACCATTTTACCCTGCCCCCCCAGCTCAGGGGACGTAGCCCTCCGCCCAGTAATTGAGATCGGCGTCCAGCCCCTCACTACCACTTAGAGCAGGGACCCTGGCATCTCAAGCTTAGGGACCCAGACAATGAGCTCTAGCCCCTTCCCCCACCTGCAGCATGCCAATTTTCCCCGCCCTTCGGAAGGTTAAGGGGCGGCCGCAGAGCCCCCAGCCCCCTTTTCTCAATGGGATGGGATTTTGTGAATGAGCAGTCACGTGACGCTGCTTCCTTTGTCCGCCCGCCTCCCCCGACAACAGGTGAAGCAGAGAAAGAGGGCAGGGGTCCCCCCAGGGCCTAGCTGGGATGGGACGCCAGAATTTCTGGGTGCCCCACGCTCCCCACACATTTGTTTCCCGGAAAGAGTGGTCCCCAGAGCTCCTCAATGGTGGGGGTCCAATATGGAATTTTATGAATGGGGCGTCCTAGGAGGAAGTCCGGGCCCCCCAAATGGAGACTGGTACCCCAAATGGCTGCCGCGCAGTTTAGGGTCCCCCACTCTCTTGTCCTTCCAGCCAGGGTCTGGGGGGCGCCCCGTTGGGCAGGAGGTTGCAGTGCGGTCCTGACCGCCCCCTCAGCGGGACGGGCGGTCTGTCAGCCCCCGCCCCCTCGCCCCCCTTGGCACCTGCCTGGGAGGCTCCGGCCGGGCTCCGAGCGGCGGCGACGTGGCCTCCTCCTCCTCCTGTTCGCTCCGGCTCCCTCGCAGGCTCCGGCGGCGCTAGAGACGGGCACCGGGAGCCGGGGCGAGGGGGGAGGGAGGAGGAACCTGGAAGATGGGTGGGGGTAAGGGGGTGGTTCGGTGGGAGGGGGTAAGCGCGAGGCGGGCGTACTTGCTCGCTGGGTCCTAGAGCCCGGCACTGGCAGCAGGAAACAGCCCCCCAGCCCCTATTTTCTCAGGATCCAGAGAAGACCCTCTACTTTCCCACCTCTCCGCGCTTTTGGTCCCTAAGGATGTGGGGATGGGGTCCGGGACATGGCCTGGTCTCAGGGTTCTAAAGAGGAGAGGGTCTACTCCTTGGATTCTAAATGGGAGAGGTTCAGAGGCAGGCGGGGTTCGAGATGGGGTGGGGCGAGAAGGGAGCTTTGCAAGGGGGTGGGGTCGGAGGGCCTAGGGCTGAGAGCGTGAGGACGCCGAAGACTTGAACAGGCTCGTACGTCATGGAAGGGGCGGGTCCATTGTGGAGGGGCCTTCTGGGCGGGCCCGACAAAGAAGAAGGTCTTGGGAAGAGACGATGCGGGGTCCTAAGAAGGCGGAGTTTAGAAATAACTTGCATCAGGGGCGGGCGCTTGAGAGCTCCAAAGGGAGGGGCTACGTAGCAGGTTCACAATGGGCGGGGCTTGGGGAAAACTGGCTGGGAGGGGAGGGGCTTTGTAAAGGGAGGAGCTAAGGAGAACGTTCTATTGGGTTGAGACCTAGGACTACAAGGCCTAGGGGCGGGAAGAGGACCTCGGAGTATTCCAAAGAGAGATCAAGGTTCGTGAGGAGCTGGACTCAAGCCGGCCATCAGAAGAGCAGGGCCTCGAGTCCGGGGGCGGGGCCTAGGTCTCGGAGTCCGCCCTCGCTGTCTCGCCCGCTTGCCCTCACCCGCTTCACCCCCGTTCTTTTCAGTTATTTTCTGCTACGGCCGTTCCCCTCTCTGCCCTGGGCCCAGGGGGTCACGGTCTGAACCTGGGTCGGCTGGAGGAGTCGGTGAGCGAGAACCTCTGAGCAAAGGCGGAGCCAGGACGGAGCTTGGGGAAGGGGTGCGGCCTGAGTGCCTAGGTCTGCGGGTAGACCAGGCTCGGGTAACGAGTTTAGGAGTGAGGCCTGAGCATCTGCCACTCCCTGGGACGAGGGTGGGACCTAATGATCGACAGAGAGAGAAGGGGATCCGACGGGTAGAGGTGAAGACTGAGGGGTTAGCTTGACAAGAACACCTGGTATTTGTTAGGCGGAGGCGGGGCCAGACGGGAGTTAGGGAGATGATGAGCCCCGATTCCCAGACAATCGGGGACAGGACAAAAGAGAGGAGGTAGCGCATGGGCCTCTGCAGGTGGGTTGGAGTGCTGAGAGAGAGGCTTGAACTCCTTGTAGGCCTTGTAGACTACTTAGCCCAACCATAATGAATTATGTGGCCTGAGTGAATGATAGGAAGGCAGGAAACACCTGTATCTTGGAGCCTGAAGAGCTTGAAGCTGGGGGACGTGTCCAAAGTATAAGGATGTGATCTGAAGGACCAGCCAGGGAGACAGGAACCAAAAGTTAGTACACTAAGAGGACTGGGCCTAAGTGTCCATGAACAGCAGCTGTTTTGGTCCATGGGGAGGAAGACGTGAGCATGGAGTCAGGGAACAGAAATGCCGCTAGAAACTAGGGCCTGAGTGGATCTTGGAGGACAGGAGGAGGTCTGGTTTGGACGGGTAGGACCAAGTACAGCCAGCCTCATGGGGTCCCCACAGCCCTAGCCGACTGACTGCTGTAAGTTTTTCTCACTACAGTCCCAGACCTCCGTCAGAAATGGGGAATGTGCAATCGGAGCCCTCCGCGGGCAGGGGCTCCCGAAAACAGTGGGCTTCGGACCGCTCCTCCGAAACTCTCCGGACATCCCCGGTGGAGCCCGAGGTGACTCCCTCTTCCCCAGCCATGCGCCTGGCTCGAGGGCTGGGCGTCTGGTTCCCTGGCAGCTCCGCTGAGCCCCAGGCCTCACCCTCGCCCCTGACCTTAGAACTGCCCTCACCAGTGACGCCCCCTTCAGAGGCGGCGGCGGCAGCTGCAGTCTCCACACCATCCACATCCCCCGTGGGGCCCCTTCTGCCCGCGCCGTCTCAGAGGCGAAAACCCACTGGCATTCGGGTGCCCCGGATCTGCAGTCTGCTGGAGGCGAGCCACCGAAGACAAGGCGACCCTCCGAGCCTCCGCCAGCTGCTGCCACCACCCCGTCAACTAACCGAAGAGGATCTCAACCGTGCCCCAAGGGCCCCATCCCCAACTCCGCCGCCCCTGGAGCCGCGGGAGCAGCCGCCACCGCCACCTTCTGACCGGCAGCCCCCGAACCTCAGAACCACTCCTGCTCTGGCCACACCCACCGCAACCCCTGCAGAAAACCAGGCCCGGCAGAGCAGCGACGGCCTGACGGTTGACGGAGCCCGCCGAGAGCCGCCTCCTCAACCGGGAGAGGGCGAAATGGCCCGGCCCTCAGCCTCTGAGTCCGGCCAGAGCCTGCTGTGTAAAGTCACCTTCAAGTCAGGGCCCCTTTCACCTGCTGCGGCAGCGTCGTCCAGCTCCTTAGCAGCCAAAGCCTCCCTCGGGGGCAGCAGAGGCGGTGGACTCTTCGCCGCCGCCTCGGGCTCCATCTCTTACGCTGAGGTCCTGAAACAGGAGCCCCTAGCTCCTGGGGCCACTCGCCCCTCGGGAGAGGTCCCTCGGGGGGCTAGGGAAGCAAAGGGCAGTGACGGAGACGGCGAGGGCTGTTCTGGACCACCCTCAGCGCCTGCATCTCATGCCCAGACCTTTCCACCACCACCCTACACCATCTTCCCAGGCTCCAAGCCCAAATTTGACTGGATGAGCCCTCCGCATGGCCCCGAAGGCCACTTCCGCTTCAAAGGAGCAGGCGGAGGCCTCAGGGCTCCCCGGAGGCGCGCTGCCGCGCTCTCACGGCCCTGGGGCACCCCGCTGGCTACGCCAGGGCAAATGCAACTTTATCCCCGGCCCAGGAACCCTGCACCCCCCCTGCTGGTGCCGCCTAAGTTCATCTTCCCGGCGCCCACCAGTGGCAAGCCTGTGAACCCCAGGCCCCCAGGCCCGCAGGAGTTAGCGCCGCCGCCGCCGCCGCCCACACCGCAGCCACCGGTGTTCCAGCTCACGCCGCTGCCGGTAGTGCTCCCGGCCACCCAAGTCCCGGGCCACTTGGAGTCGGCCCCCGCTCCTGCTCCATTTCCCGCTCTGCCCCTTGCGGCCGACCAGATCCCCGCCCTCACCCTCGCCCTCGCCCCAGCTTTGACCCCGGCCCCGGCCCCAGCTCCAGCTCCCACCTTGGCGAAGCCGCAGCCGCCCGCTCTAACGCCCATCAAGGCCCGTACTCGCAGAAACAAGGGTCCCCGAGACGCCCGGGGCAAGACCCGTGAGGATGGTGCACCTGGAGATGGTCCTCGAGAACGGACGGCACCTACTGTCACTGACAGAGGAAGCAGAGGAGGTGGAGGCGGCGGGGCTTCTCTGGCCGCGACGGCTAACATCCGTACCACGCGCCACTGGCCGCCCTTTCAGGTGCTTAACTCTTGCCCCTGCAAGTGTTACTGCCGCCACCAGCCACACCATCGCCGCCTGCCATGCAACGTGTCTGCCTGGTGAGAGGAGGTCGGGAGAGTAGGGAGGGGAGGGCATACCCTTCCAAGTCCTAAACCCAACTTCCTGGATAGAGTCCCATGCAGCCCTTTCGCGTCCTTGACTCTCCCCTCGACTGCATCTCCAACTCAGCTGAGCTCCAATCCTTGAGAACCAAGGGGAGCCTTAGCACCACACTGACTTCTGACGGGAGATGGAACACCTTGGTCCAGCCCCTTGGTATCCAGACCTCTAAGCCTACCCTTGGCCCTCTTGTTACTCTCTGGAGCCATCAGAGAAGTAAGTTGGTGCCAGCTGGCCTGACCCTATTCATGGCCTTGACCCTGTCCCTGATGGCACCCAAAGGGCCGATGTCCCAAGCTTTTCAGGTATGGCAGGAAAGGAGATGACTGTCTGCTGGAACCAAATGGGCATAAATGCAGGACTCTAAAGGAAGCACTTGGCCCAGTCCCAGACTCCTGACCCTTGAAACCTTTAGCAACTTATGCTGCTGGGATCCAAGGCTTTGACAGAGGGGAGACTGCCGCTCCAGTCTCTGTGCCAGAGGCTACTGCTGAGTCCTCAGGAACAAGTGCATCCTTCAGTCACCCCACCCCCACAGGATCTGGTCACTAGGGTCTCTCTGACCCTGGCTCCTGAGGAACCTCAATCACTGGGCGACCCTCTGCCTTGAACCCCTTGGGGCTTGGCAGGGGGTAGGGATGGGGCAGAATGGGGAAAAGAGTATCACCAACCCTCAGTTCCCTTTCTTACTGTTTATCAGTGCTGCCCTACCCTAGAGGCCGCAGGGATGTGCACACATGGTTCCTCACACCAGGGGGAAAGAGAACCTAGAAGGGATAGGGTTCTGGCCGCATAGCCAGGCCCTGCTGATTCTACCCTCCCCTTAGGCTGAGCACACCCACCAACCACCTGAGTGAGCCGCCCTGGGTCACCACCATCAAGCTTGCAGGTTCCCTGGTAGCAGGGCTGGAGCACTACGACTTGCAGGACACCCATTCCAACTGAGCGCAGTCTGTACCATGTCCTCCATCTTCCCCCTCCTTGACAATAAAATAAGCATCCAGATGCCTAGCTGCCCATCAATCACCTGATAAGGGTTGAAAGGGTGGGTTGAGGCAGTACAGAGGTTTCTATGAAGGTGCATCATCCTGCAGTTAAGGAGGCTGGACCCATTGCAGAGGTTCCATTCATCCAACATCCAAATTGACAGGCCCAGGGGTGAGATCATCTTGTTCCCCTTAATCCATCATCAACGCTGTTTCTGAGCATATCTGGTGCCAAGCTCAGGAGTTCAGCCCAGATCACTTTGGAAAGGAGTATTCATTCCAATTTTACAACTGAGGAAACTGATTCTGGAGGATGTTGAAAACCCCACATCCCACAAATGGCTCACCCAGATCTGGACTCTTTATAAATACCTTCTCAAGAACCTCAAGGCAGGAAACATGGCAGGGGAATAGTGCAGGAGGTCCTAAGTCACAGCACTGGCTCAGGAAGGTGGGAACCAGGGCAAGTCCATGCCAGGGCCCCCACCTTTCACTCCACGGAAGTCTCAAACTGGTAGCCCACAGACGGGTTCCATTTCACGTGTCATTTTAAAAAACTGGTTTAATTCATTGCAAACATTTAAAAAATTGTGACACTTCACCCTCTTTGCTGAAGAACTCTGGTGCCTCGGCTTGGCCTTCCTGTGTGTCCACAGTGGCTTCAACAGTCCCTCTCTCCCTAGGGCCTGTGCTCTCACAGGCCCCAGTGACACTGGGCCCCTACGGTGGATATCTGTGTTTGAGACCTTGAGCAAAAGGCACAGGACAGAGGCTGACCCAGACAGAGCCCTGCACTTCCAAGTTCTTCAAACATAAGAATTTGTCTCCCCCCATTCCATCTGGGGAGACAAGGGCCTTGGAGAGTGACTATCAATCCACGTTTATTGGAGGAAACCCTGGACCTCAACTGCTATAAATAATGCAAGCCCTCCCCACCCCAGTGCCTGGCAGGCTCAGACGATCATCTCCAGCTGCCTCGCATACTCGATGACCTGTTTGGCCAACTCTGTGGAGGGGATGGTGGTATCTTCTGGCTTCTGTTGCTGGCTGGCAAAGCTGTAGTAGTTGTTGAGGCCCAGGACCCAGCCTCGCTGCAGGAAGGGAAGGGAGGAGACATGGGTGGGGTGGTCACGCAGGCTCCCTCCCACCCACTTACCCATGTGGGCCCAGGCTCACTTTCCTCACTAACCCCACTCCACCTACACAACTCTAGGCAAGTAACTTCACCTCTCTGAGCTTCAGTTCCTCCATCTTTGAGACAGAGACCCTAATCACACACCTCTCTGGGTCTGCTGTGAGGATTCAGTGAATCAACACCTCTAAAGCACTGAGAATAGCATTTGGCCCAGAGTAAACAATCACTAATCAGCTGTCATCATAATTCAAGTTCAATTTCACCTCCTCCAGTCTGGTCTTGACCCTCCTCAGTCATGAGGGTCACTATACCCAAGCATTAGCATCTCCAGGGGCACTGCTCCCACACAAATACCCCAGACCAAATGAAGCCGTCCTGTGGGGAAAAGATGCAACCTCCAAGGAATTCTGCTAAGGACAACAGCCAACATAGGCCAAGAGTTCACCTCCACCTGATGTCAGGTGCTGTGCGCGAAGTATCTCACACAGTAAATTCTAGCCCTGTTCTACAGGTAAGGAAACTGAAGCTCAGGGAAGTTTTGTGACTTGCCTGAGGTCACACTGCTAGATTTCAACAGGGGCAGTCTTGCTCCAGCCTCCCTCTTGGCCACCCCACACTGCTATTAGTGAGTGCATCCCATGGCCCTGCCTACACTCTAACCCCTTCCCTGCACCCCAGCCACCTTCTTAGCATAGTCTGTCATCTTTTTGGGTGTGTTGAAGAAGAGGATCCGGGTTGCCTCAGTGAAGAGGATTTTCTCATAGGCCTTCTCGATGCACCCAGCAATCTCATCCCTGGAGGAAGAAGAAGCTCCTATTAATGAGCACAGACAGTTTTCCAGACCCCATTCTCCCAAGCCTGACCTGTGTGAACTCTGACAGCTGGTACAGGTTTAACCCACCAAGGCTCAGAGGGACAGCAGCTTACCAGAGTTGCAAAATCTAGGCCACTGTAAGGTCCACATCTTGGATTCCCCGGCCCCAACTCTGAATCCCATCCCCAGCCTGGGATTCATCTGAGGGGATCTCCACACATAACCCACCCCACACAAGGGTGCGATACCCCATTTCTAGATCTGACGCCAAGGGGGTTCCTTGTACCTGTGTCAAGAAATACCATGATCAACAAAGAACTAGAAAAACAAGGCATCGAGTCACTGAAATGGGAGAAGGGATCAGCTCTGGGGAAGAAATGGAGACACGAAGAGGTCCATCTATTGATCTCTTAGGCCAAGTGGTAGGTTGTGGATGCCCATTGTATCATTCCTTGTTCATTCTGGAGAGCTGAAATTTTTTCTAATTGAAAATGTAAAATACCTTAAACCAGCTAAACTACCACTCCTCACGCCCACCATGTCTCTGGGCTTGGCTTTGCCACCCAAGGAATAAAAACCCATCTCAATCTGGTGCTTTGCCTGAGTAAACCAGCTCTGCCAGCACCTGGGCACCCTTTTATCCCTCAAAGGACTTGTAACTGTCATGTTCACCTGCCTATGTGATGTCACTTGTGCACAGAGCAACCCAAAGGACTGGTGGGACCTGACGTCCTTGTCTAAAGAGGAAACTGAGAGTTCCACAGCTTAGGTGAGGTCATGTGACTCCCGGGCTGACGCACTTCTAAGAGGTTCTTGTCTGCTGAGCACTGTCTGCGTGCCAAACCCATGCTCTGGATCGGACAGATCTGGACACATGTGAACGGCCCAGAGTGGGATGAGGGTTGTTTCCCAATCTCATGACCAGCTCCAACACAAAGGAAAGGAGAACTGATATGCCCAGCCTTCCCAGGTCACAAGTGGTCAGAATGGGATACAACCCAGGGCTGTTCTGACTTCAGAGACCAGCTCTTTCCGAACCCCACAGGGCGCAGGTGCCCCCACACACCTGATAGTGTCGAGCAGGATGTCAATGAAGAAAGTATAACTCTCAGCAGGGATGTTGCCTTTTGCCAGGAACACCTTGTTGTAGCTGCCCTCCATCAGGTACTGCAGGGGCCAGGATGGGGAAGAGGAGGTGAGGAGAGGCAGCAGGGGCTTACCTGCTGAGGCCTCACCATTGTCCCAGTGCCTCCATAATCCCTACTCTTCTAGAAAACCCTTGGCCATCATCACCCATCTCCCATGCAGACTGGGCACCTCTTCTTCCAAGAAGCCTTCCCTGCTTTTCTCTGTCTCTCCAGCCTGCCTTGGGCCGGTATCTAATTATCTCAACTATTCTCCAATCACCAGAGGATGGAGAGCTGGGTCTACACCAAGACTCATTCCTCCCCACCTTTGCCCAAGCTGTGCTGCCTACCCTAACTGTCCTCTTCCCATCCTCTCCCCACAGCAAAGTCCTGAAATGGGGGAAGGGATTAGGATTAGGTCCTTTGAGACCTCATCTCTAGAGCTGCCTCCTTAGTACTTAGGTACTAAGGCTCTTCCCTGACCCTGCTTACCTTGTTTTTCAAACTCCCTGCTGTCCCTCAGCCATACCAGGCACATTCCTGCCTTGGTACCCTTGGACTGGCTGTTCCCTCTACCTGGATCACTTTTCCCCCGGGTGTCCACACGGGTGGGTTCTTCACCCCTTTCAAGTCTTTCTCAAGTTTCACCTTTTCAGCAAGGCCTTCCTTGACCATCCTTATGAAAAAAATTCATCCCTGCCTCCGACTCTCCACACTCCTTCCTGCTTTCTTCTTCTCCCAAGCACTTAACATCTAACAGACTGTAGAGACTACTTAATCTTGTCATTGTTTGCTTCCTCACCTGAGTATCACACCCACAGGATCGGATATTTTTATCTGTTTTGGTCACTATACAGTCTGAAAATCAATCACAATGCCTGGCATACAGCCGGGGCTCAATATTTGTTGGACGAATGAGCAACTGAGTCCCAGGCTGAAATATGGGCGAACCCTGCTCACTCCTCCTGGAAATCCTCCCTATTGTCTGTCTCTATACCATCCCCTTTCAGCCAGGCCCGTCCCTTCCCCTTCCCCTTCCCCAGCCTCACTTGCTCAAGCGACACAGGATGCTTGATGTATACGTTGGTCTGAATGTCCTTGGCAGGCAGCCGCTCCAACTCGGTATGGAACTCAGCCACCCGGTTCTGGGACAGCAGGAAGAGGAGGTTGAGGCCCAAGAGCTGGTGCATATAGGCCGATTCTGGGAGCTGCTCCCTGTAGCAGGGTGGGTGAACCAAGGTAAGGAGGGCTTAGATATCTACCACGCCTCTCACTCCAGGCACCAGGGATCCTGATGACTGCCCAATGCTGTGTCCTTGGAGAGGTATTGGGTCCTGGGTTTTCAGATTAAAGTGAAGCCAGAGAGGCACAAAGAAGTCACAGGTCATATGAGCCCAAGCAAATGACCTCACTTCAATAAAGTCACTCAGAGTCAGTTCCCCCAATTGTAAAATGGGTACACCATAGTATTCACTTCACAGAGGTGTGCTAAATGAATAAGGGTTAAGTGAAGTCAATGATTAAACCCAGGTAAAGTGATTAGAACACTACCAGACCCAAATAAATACTGGGTAAGTGATTAGCTATGATTATACTAAGAAGCATCACCCTTACTTTAAGGAGGAAACTGAAGCTTAGAGAGATAAAGTCATTTGCCCAAAACCACATAACAAAGAAGTGGTAAAATCAGCTTCAAACTCAGGTTCGTCTGACTTCTGATGTCATATTCTTAATCATTAACCCATGCAAGCACCACTGAGTTATAAAACCATCCAATTTTCTATTTGACACATATCCAGTGATCTCTGCTCTGGTGCTAGCCATGTGTGAGGCAGTATGGGGGTACACCAGTGGCCATGACCCCTCTGCCTTTCGGAGGCTCACATCCAGTGGGAGCCACAGGGCCAGGGTGGGGGGAGCACAGGCAGAGGGGTCAGGTCTGACACAGCCCACTGAGGCCACTGAAGCCTGAGGGCCATGGAGAGCCATGACAGGTTCCAAGCTGGGGATCAAGGCAGTCAAATTTTAGCATCACAAAAGATCCAACTAGCTGCCACTCTCCAATGCAAGGGGGCAAGGCTGGGGCCAAGGCAGATGAAAGGAGATGGTGGCTACACTGGGGAGTGGAAATACAGTGTGGAATGTAGAGGGGAGGGCAAAATTAGAGGCCAAAAGAGGCTGGACGGTACAATCCCAGTCTCAGGCCCTCTGGGGCAACCCTCTGACACTGCAGCCTCTGTGGACAGAGCCAGGCAAAGGCGGGGCTCCCAGGTGAAGGAGGATGACCTGAGTGGCTACAGCATCAGGAATAAAATCACATAACAACCCCCTCCCCAAATCAGGCACGGGGCCCATCCTCACTTGTAATCGAAGTAGTAGCATTTGAGCTGGGCCATGTAGCGTTCAAAGGAGGGGATGTCCTTGCGTAGGATGCTCCACTGGGCCCCAATCTCCAGTATGTCACCTGTGGGTGACAGGGCTGACTCTTAGGAGGTGACTGAGTCCCTCCCTGACCGCCACTGCTGCCATTCTTACCACAACTCCAGCCCATCCCGACCCCCCAGCCCCAGTGGGACTCACGGGCCAGAATGAGCTGCTGCTTGGTTAGCTTGGTCCCTGTGGTTGGCAGGAAGTTGAGCTCCAGCAGAACCAGCTGACAAGGAGGGCAGGGAAGAAAGGAAGGACAGAAAGGAGGTGGGACTTCAAGGCCAGGTGACTTACCTTTTCTAGATTTTGGTTTTCCCACCCAATAAATGGGGCTAACCACCATCCCTGACTCATAAGGTTGTTATGAGGATTAAGGTACTCAATCCTCATAAAGCACTCAGAACAGGGTCTGGACACACTGTGAGTGCTCATTAAGATTACCTCATACTGAACAATTAACAGCCTCATTAGGCAAACAGGAGACACACTCCAAGCCTGACCCCACAGAATCGAGGGAGTGGGGCAACACGGCACCTTCCGTTCTTGGCAGACCTTCCCTACACTCCACTGGGCTGGGCCCAGCTACCCCCACCACCACCCCGATCTACACCAGGGAGGGAGAGGAGCCAACCAGCCCGCATAGTCCAGCCCACACATCATTTCTTATTTGACAGCCTCCTCGCAACCCGGTCTAGCCCACAGTATTTGTGCTGTTTCAAACACGTGATCTGAAGCTCCCTGAGTCCCATTCTGCTCCTGTACTACAAGAATATTTTTTTTCTAGGTTCAGTCCTGCCCTCACAACTTGGCTGGCTCTCCTCTCCTCACAGGTGCGTCCCTAAGCCCTAGGTCTCTCAAACCCTAACTTGGTGTGGTCTTCAACCACACACCCCATCCTCTCGGCCTGTCTTTCATCACCCTATCCAGTCTTCCTTCCCCACTGGGTCTCGTGTAGAACCCATCAGAAAAACTCCGACACCCCCACCTTGCCACTCCAACCAACTATGCCTCCAAGCACCAAAATTTTAACCTCTTAACACGGTTGTGCCAGAACCACGCTTCCATCATCACCCTCCCACCCTGTGAGGCTGCATTTGGTCCATTCCAGGCCCCTCTCGCTTCTTCGCCCCTCTAAGCCCGCACTTTGTTCCGAATCCTTCAGCCTACTGGATCCCCAGGCCGCCCGGTCCCGTGGCAAGGTGGTCTCGGCTCGATCCCGACCCGTCGCAGAGCTCCCCGCCCACCCCTACCTTGAGACGGCCCAGCTCTTCCCCGCACTTGCTAAGATTGGGACTTTTACGGTTCCACTCGCCCTTGAGTTGCTCGTACATGCCGGCCGCGGCCTGCAGGACTGCGCCCGAGGGCGCCGCAGGCCCCGAGCTCGAGGCACCCGCCGCCCCGTTCACCGCCGCGGCCGCCATCTTCCGTGACACCGCAGACCGCCTGCCCGACTGACGGCAGCGGCGCCTACAGGCGCACGCCCGGCGGAAGTGGGCCCGGGAGGTGGAGCCCAGGGCCGGGGGCGGGGCTGCGCCTGCCTGCCTCCGCCTGCCGCGGTTAGAGCTCAGTCTCCCTCTGGGAGGTGCCCTCGGAGGCCGGCCCTTAACGAACATGTCGGTCGGAGCTCCGCCTCTGCTGTCGCGCAAGATGGTGACCGGAAGTTGCCTCCTGCCCCAAATGAACGTGGTAACAGTCGCAACGCCTCCCCACCTCCCATAATAAATATGGCTGCCCCGGCTTCAATCTGGGCGTTCGGGACGCTACGTTTCTGTCTTGGAGATTCTGTCTTGCACAGCAGCTTCTATAAGCCAAGGGGTGGAAGTGCTGCAGCCATTTGGACAAGTGTGTTATTCTTCCATGTTGTACACAGGCTTTGAGAGGCCAGGTAACCTGGCCGGAGACGAACAGCTGAGTCTCTAGTCTCTCAGCGATCCTTCCACATTTTCTCCGAGTTTACACAAACACGTTACAAATTTACCAAAATCATCTAGTCTTATGGCTTCAAATGCCACGTATATGCGGAGGATTCCCAATTTTTTTTTAGTCCCTACTTCTGATCCCGCCATGTACATCACTCCTTGTCTACTGAACATTCCAACTTTTTCTCAAACCCAACCCTCTGTTTCCGTCATTTAGAATGCGAACTCCTTGAGAGCTGGGATATTTATCGATTTTCTTTACTGCTCTATTCCCCTGCACGTGGTGGACTATCGATAAATATGTGTTGAATGAGTCAATGAATGACTATGTAAAAAGATGTCTTTTGAAAGTTTATAACAAAAACCGATCAAACTACACATATTTTTCCAAACACAATGTACTTTTTAGCAGTACAGTAAAGACATTGCTGGAGATGAATGGGTGTATTTCTGACACTTTTTAAAAATACTGGCAGCATAATATTCCACTGTATGAATACACCAAATTCAGTTAATGATTTGCATGTTGATAACTGGGTTATTTTTGTTTATTTGCCACTGCTAACAGTGCTACAATAAGGATCCTTAAATGCAGTTCCTTGAATACAGTGAAGATTTCTAAGGGCTAGGTCTTAGGAAGTTAAGAATACTGAATCAAGATAGGCATATTTTTTGCTTATGTAGTCATCATGATTGCTTTCCAAAGTTGTAGCAGTTCACAGTTGCAGCAGCTATGAAAGAGTGCTAAAAACATCACCACTACTGAACTTTGTTGCCTCTTTTTTCCTTTTGCCAATCTGATAGAAGCCAGCACAAGTTTTTTGTTGATTTAGTGCACATTTCCATACTAAAGAGGGTGAGCATCCTGTGTTTACTGAATATTTGGATTTCCTCTGCTCTGAAATTTTCTGTGGTGTTGTTGCATTTTCCTATAAGCCTTCTGACCCTTCTGCATAGTAGAGATAAAACCTTTTGTCATATCTGTTGCAACTGTTCTCTTTGGTCAACTGTTTGTATTCTGAATATACCAATTTATCTTTTGCCATGCAAAATTTTAAATTTCACGTAGTCAAATTTATATAATCTTCCCCTGGTGACCTCTCTGTTTTTTATCTTGTTTAAAAAGTTCTCCCCATGCCAAAGAAAAATATTCTCGAAATATTTTGGTAAAATATTTGTTTTTCCACATGTAATTTTTATTAATCTCAAATTAACTTTTGCATATAATGTAAAGTAGGGATCTAAATTTGATTTCATCCTCATCGTCAATTTTTTCAGAGCCACTTGCTAAATAAACCATTGCTTTCCCACCAAGATGAAAGACATTTGTGTCTTATATTAAATCTTTTCAATAATCAGACATATTTTAAGCCATCTGTTATATCCCACTAGTCTATATTTATTCTTAGCAAATGCCATACTGTTTTTAATATATATATTTGTTGTGGTTAAGATGAAATTCGAAAAACATAAAATTGGCCATTGTAAATTGGAACAAGTCAGTGACAATACATTCAGAATGTTGTGCAAATACCACCTTTACCAACAAAACGGTTTTATCACCACAAAAAGAAAACCCTTTCCTCTTAAATAGTTGCTTCGCATTCCCTTCTTCCTCCTTTAGTAACTACCAATCTGCATGCTGTCTCTATGTACTTACCTATTCCTGGCCTTTCATATAAATGGAGTCATACAATATGTGACCTCATGTGTCTGGCTTCTTTCACATAGCATGTCTTTGAGCTTCACAGATGTTACAGCATGTATTAGTACTTCATTCCTTCTTATGTCTGAATAACTTATTCCATTGTATGGATATACCATGACTTGTTTATCCATTCTTCCACTGATGAACACTGGGCTGTCTTCACCTTTTGGCTTTAAATATAGTGCTGAAATGAACATGCATATGCATATACTTGCTTAAAAACATGTTTTCAATTCCTCTGGGTGAGATATTTGTAAGTGGAACTGCTGGCTGACAGGTAAATCTATGCCTAACGTTTTGAGGAAACACCAAACTATTTTCCACAACAGCTGAACCATTTTATATTCCCACCAGCAATATACGAGGGTTCCCATTTCTCCACATCCACGCCAACACTTGCTGTATCTTGTTTTTTAAATTACAATAACCATCCTAATAAATATGAAGTGATAGATTTCTGTGGCTTTGATTTGTATCTCCCTGATAACTAATGATGTTGAACAATTTTTCATGTGCTTTTTGGCCATCTGTGTATCTTTAGAGAAATGTCTATTCAAGGTTGTGGGTAAAATTGTAACATTTCCAGAATATCTCACCTGGCTTTAGTGCATCTGCATATCAGTAGCCATTCAGAGGTGGAGAGAAGTATGGCTTTAGTGCATTTGCATCATTCCTCAGGGGTGGAGAGAAGTTCATCTCCATATCAGTGGGTAATTACCTGGGCAAGGAGGGCTTATCTGTACCCAAGAGGTGAGGGGAGGGTCAGTTTTGCTTCTGCTGGAGCAGGAAAGAGAAGAGCCTGGAATGCAGTTTGTAAGCAATAAACGGATTTTAAACTATTTCTCTCTTTGACTGATTTTGGTTTTTAGAGGTATTTTGCCCTGGGATTTCCTCTCCCTGGACTTACAAAGGTCTTTGTCTGTTTTTGAGGGGTTTTTTTTGTTGTTGAGTTGTAGAAGCTGTTTATATTCTAATATTAGTTTTATTAGATACATGATTTACAAATATTTTTTCCCATTATATGGATTGTTTTTTTCACTCACTGGATAGTATCCTTGGATTCCTAAGCTCCATAACATGATCTCAATGGCCTTGCCTGCTCTGGAGCTATGCTGTCTCTTCATGGACAAACTGGTCCAGCTGTCTGCCCTGGTGTCCCCTCAGAGTATGTGTATCCTGGAGTGGAGGAGTGGAAGAGGCTGGTCAGAGAACCTCCATAGTCACTTCACCCAAGACCTCCAGGGAGGGGCTGGAGTCGATCCTATTGGGGTGGAGTACAATGTGCAGTTTTGCCTTTCAGTCTCCCTCTCCGCTTCTTGACAGCTCACTTTCCTTATAAGAATTGCCCTTCCCCACAAGCAAGAGATTAGGGTATGACTAACTGCCCTCAGCTCCACGGATGGGCTCTGATTGGCTTAAACCAATCAAGGTCCCATCCCTCAGCCAGTGTGACTGGTAAAGCTCATAATACAACCTCATCCAGTCACGGTGACTGATAAGACCTTTGTCTGGGAATGTTGCCCTCCAGCCCCATCTTTCTTTGGGCAATAAGATAGTCAATGTGCAGCCTCAGACTGTGAGGTGGGGCTAGGCTCTGAGATCAGAGAGCACATTCAAAGCAGGGATAGCTACAGAGAAACAGAGCCAGAATCCTAGGGACACTGAGGACTTCTGGGTCAAACTGTACCTGAAGTCTGGATTAACAAAACCCATAAATTACTATTTCCATATGGATCATTTGAGTGAAATTTTTGCTACTTGAAACTAAAAAATCTTAACCTTTCCAGAGTCCCCTCTTTAACCTAGACACTAGATAGGTGTTGACATTTGAAATATTTTATGACTGGTATTAAACCTGGGCACTGAACAGTCAGAACAGACTTAGGGCCATAGAAATGGGCCTGGTATATGGAGGACTCTACTGGACTGTAGGGAGCTTGGGGACACCTGGGGAGGGGCTGAGTTGGCAGGCACACAGAGAAGCGGCTATTTACCAGCTGGCACAGAAAGACCTTTTGGTGTTTTAATGACCTATTGTGGCTTTGTGGTACAAACTAATTTAACTGGACGTGAGCCCTTACAAGGACTCACAGGTGGTCCTGAAATGAGGCTTTACTCAGGTCCGAAGGAGAAGTGAAAATTCAAGCTAAACAGAAAGAAAGGCTTGGGATGGGTGACAGGTTGCATTTCTCAGATGGCCCAGGAAGTGAGGGATGAGATGGGTCGGGATGAGGCAGACAAGAGGCTCAGGTCAATTTCTTCAAGGCTTCCTCAGATGCAGCCGCCTTCTCCTTTGCCACCATGGAGAGGCCATGGGAGCTGACACTGAGGTTGCTCCCAGATTTGGTCCCTGATGGGCTGCTGAAGACTTTGGAAGGGGAGGTGTGGGTGTAATAGGATTCTGAGGTGATGATGTTGTTGATCTTCCAGCGAAGAATGTTGCAGGCCTTCACCGTAAGGGGCAACAGGAGGCAGCAGCTGATGTAGAGGATCACCACGCTGACAGACACGGTGACTGACACCTGCCGGCACCACACGACAGGCATGGGTGGGCAGCCTGGGGGCCCCCACCCCCCACAGGACAGCTCCTAGGCAGCCACTCACCCTGAGGATGAAGAGGGCCCTCTTGGCACTGAGTGGGAGCCCGTGGATATGCAGCAGAAAGATGAGCTGGTAGTCACAGTATGTGCTCTTGTCCACGCCTCTAGTGGGGGCTGGGGCTTAGGATTGGGGGAGTTAGGGCACCCCACATGAAGCCCCCAATCCCACCTGGGCCACATGCCTTGCTCACCTATTGCTCACCAACACCTTGAAGAAGAATTCGGGGGCAAAGAAGCTTTGGGGAACCGTGTCATGGCACGGGGAGTTCTCCAGACACAGCCACCTGAGGGCCCAAGTTCGGCCACTGAGCCTAGCATCACGCCTAGCATGTGCCAACCCCTGAGTTCTCTTGCCACCCCCATACTCGGCGTGAGCACCACTAGCTGCAATCTTATCCTTTCTTCCCTGGAAACTCATTCATTCGTCCAAGAAAGCTGACTCGATCCCTACCATGTGACAGGCTTGAGGATCAGGGGCCTCCCAGAGGCAGAAGGGTTGTACAGGCCAGATGGATTGTGGGTAGGTGGAAGGATAAAGGGGCCTGCATCTGAGCCATGCACTCACTCAATGCCCAGGCTCTGGTGGGACATGATGTTGAAGACTGAGTCTTTGGTAGTAGTTGTGTTCTTTGTAGTCCAGATGAGACTGTCGGTCCTGCAGTGAGTGGACCGTGTAACTTCGTGGGACTTGGGGGAGGCTGGACCAATACTGCGAACAGCTTAGGGGGTGGGGAGGAAGCCCTAGGTGGGATGGGGTGTGGCTGTGGGTGTGGCTTGGCAGCGTGGGCGGGACAAGTGTTTGTGGGAGCGCTGTGGGCGGGGCCTGAGATACTGGGGTGGATGCAGCTTGCAGCGAGGGCAGGTCTGTAGCTAGGCAGCAGGAGGGGCCCGCATGAGAAGGAAAGGTGTTAGGGTCGCGTCGCACAGGGGATTACTTGTCCAGGGGGCTGTTGAAGCGGTAAATCTCCTCCTCGCTGTACTCCCTGATGGTGTCCAGGGTGGGCCCTCCACCCACCACCTTCAGCACGTAGCTGTTGGGAGCAAAGGTGCGCGCGGACTGGCCTCGCTGTTCGGAGTCCCCCATCACTTACCCCCACTCCACACTCTACCCTCTGCCTCCCGTCCCCTCCCTTCAGCCGCTGGCTTGGCCACTCCTTACCTGCCCTGAAAACTGCTAGAATCTCCCGTCACCAAATCTTGGATCAAGAAGAAGGGGTAGAAGACTGCGGGGTAGTGGGGGTGAGGCCAGGACAGGAAGAAATTAGCATGGCCCGAGCAGTAGAGGACGACGGGGAGGGGAGGAAGGAGAGATGAGCGCCCCGAGGGAAAGAGCAGAGGATGGGTGGGGAGGTGAGCGAGCAGGGCCAAGGGGTGGGCGTAGAGGACAGTGAACAATGGAGGGGAGCAAACTGGGCACGCACTGTCACGGAAGAAGAAGCACGGTATCTCGGGGTCAACGTGCACACAGTCAAAGTACTGTTTATTCTTCAGGCGGTTGTACTCCAGCGTGTAGGTGGTGTCGAAGGCCAGGCGCTTGCCGGGGGGGCAGCCGATAAGCACCGGCACCATCAGGTTGCCCTGAGTAGAAGGAGGCAAGCCTCGTGGGGGAGAGGGGAGGGCGAGGCGGCCAGCTCTCCTCCACGCACCCCACCACTACCTGCCAGGCTCACCCTCACCGGGGAGTAAATACCATCATTATAAACAATCCTCTAATAACTGCAGACACCGTAGCTCTATGTGCAAGGCACTGGGTGATGTTCTATGTGCTTTACCTATTCAAATTCATTTAATCCTCAAAACAAGCCTTGCATGGTAGAGACTATTAATATCTCCATTTCACAGATGGCACAAGTGATGCACAAAGAGGTCAAGCCCCTTATTTTCCAAAGCTACACAGCCAGTAAATGGCAGAGCTGGGAGGGGAGCAAAGAGAGATTGGCTCCAGGTGCTAGAATAAGATACACAAAACCACTAACACCTATACCTATGCAGCGCCCAACTCCTAGAGGGGCTTAATAGGGCTGAAGTTGGGTCCGAATTCTCAAACTACAGACATGAGGGAGCATGGGATGTAGGAGGTGGTAGAGCCCAGGATAGGGGTCAGGGCTCGGTCATAACACTGTCTTCAGAATGTACAGCCCCTGGCCCATTTTGGGGGTAGGTCCCAAGAGTTCAGCCAATTATCAAAGGAACATGGGCAACCAGAGACTGTAGCCTGGGCTCGATGGCGACTGTGGAGAGTGGTCAGTGGCCATAGATTAAGCACTCCCCATGCTGGGCCTGGGCCAAAGAGTTTACACCTATCAGCCACTCGCTCACTGGCATCTCAGGTTCAATCTATCCACAACCCACCACAATTTAATGGCACCTCATCTTTCCATGTTCAGGCTAAAAGCCTCATCCTGGAAACCTCTTCCACTCACATCCAATCCATTCAGATACTCTGTTGTCTGTACACTTCAAAATAGTGCCATTCTCCCCTCCAACCCCTCAACTCCTTTGCCCACCCTTGTCTTGTCCAACCTTGTTTGCCTGGTCTCCCACCCCACTCCCCCTGCCCCCATTCCCGGCTGTCCTCTACTTGCCAGCAGGGCCCTGTGAGAGTCATTCCTACGCTCAGAGCCCTCCTGTGGCTCCACCTCCTTCACCATGGCTCACCAAGTCTCAAGTGATCTGCTCCCATTACCACTTTGACCTCATCTCTCTCTACTTTCCTGCTTGCTAGTCCTGATCCAACCACACATGTGTCTCACCGTCCCTTGGCCAGGACTTCCTGGAACCATCCTATGGAAAAAGCTAGCCTGCCTCATGCCCTTGCCTGCTCATTTTTCTCCTAACACTCATCACCTCTAACACACAATCTCTTTAATTTATCTTGCTTATTGTTAGATTCTCTGCTGTGTATTGAATTGTGTGTCCCTAAAGCGATGGTGAAGTCCTAATCCCTCAGTACCTGCCGATGTGACCTTATTTGGAGTAGGGTCTTTACAGATGTAATCATGTTAAGGTGAGATCATACTGGAGAAGGGTGGGTCCTAACCCAGTGACAGTTGTCCATATAGGAAAAGGGAAATTTGGACTCAGACACACAGGGAGAAGGCCTTGTGAAGATGGAGGCAGAGACTGGAGTGATGCAGCTACAAGCCAGAGCATGTCCAGGATCATGGATAGACACCAGAAGCTAGGAGAGAGTCAAGGAACAGATTCTCCCTCACAGCCTCCAGAGGGTAACAACCCTGATTTCACACTTCTGGCCTCTAGGAGTGGGAGAGGATAAATTGTCCAGTTTGCAGTCATTTGTTATGACAGCCCTAGGAAGTGAACACGTCCCCCCAACTAAACATCTGTTTCACAAAGACAGGAATTGTGTGTTTTTGTTCACTGCTGTAACTCCAGCACCTAAAATGATGCTGGCATGCAGTAGGCACTCAGCAAATATTGGTTAGTTTAATGAATAAGCTTCAAGAACAGACAGTAAAATCTACACCTGTTCTATCCCTTACCCCAGCCCCATTCCCCCAGGTAGGCCTATCTCTGGCCAGCCTGCTGAGAGATACTCCAGCTTTTATTCATTTAGCCAAATTTGATTGTGCACCTTTATGTGCAAGTTTATTTCTTCCTTCCTTCATCTAACATATTTACAGACTGAGGACCCACTATTTATCAATTAGTTCCAGTTTCCTTTTTTTTTTTTTACAGGATGTGGAGCCAGAGAGAGGCTCTGAGCGTTCCAAATACACATGCTTCTTGATATGGTAATGTAAGGGTGGGCAGAGGGAGGGACAAGAAGCCTGAAAGCCACAGCCTTAGAAAGACAGACAAGCTCAGACTGTATTTCCTTCAGCACCTGTTTCCTTGTCTGTTTTAAAAAACAACCATTGGGGTTTTTTTTAAAACTTAATTTTCATATGGGTAACATGGTCACATGGATGGATACACACACACACACACACACACACAGAGTGAAAAGTTTTACTTCCATTCCCATCCTTCCACTGTCCTGCCTCTCCTCCATCCCTACAGCAGGGAACCACATGAATACTCTCGCTCATTTTCCCAGTTTCCTTATGCAAATAAAAGCCAACACGAATATATGTTCGCAGTTAACCTCTTTCATGCTAATGTTTTGTATATACTGTTCTGCACTCACTTTTCTTCTCAAGAATAAAATACACTTTGAGACCATTCCACATGAATATGTGATCTTCTCCCCCACCTGTTTTTACAACTACATAGTTTTCTGTTGCATGGATGTACTGTAATTTATTTAACTAATCCCCTATTAATAGACATTTAGGTTGTTTCCAACCTTTTGCTTTAACAGTGTGTTGCAGATTTGATTCCCAGAAGGGATCTGCTGGGTCAATAATCAGGAATGTTAACTTTGATCTTCTGGGTTATGATAAAGAGGAAAATAATACATTCCACTAAGAATAGCAGGAAACACTTCTGGGAGGCTGACATCAATTGCTCTTCCCAATACTTAACCTGGATTGTCTCATGTAATGCAAGGAATTGGGGGCTGTTATCACCCCCTTTTTCTGCCCTGGGTCATACCAAGCCAAAGGGAGGAGGACCAGGGTCTCTCTGCTGGTGAGTGGGCAGGGAAGTAAGTGACAATGAGGCCTCAGGGTTGGCCCCTCTACTACCACTTATTAGTTCCCTGGGTTACCCTAAGCAGATGTCTGCACCTTAGAGCCTCAGTGTCAGCCTCTGTGCAGAGGATACAGCATCTGTAAGCAAGGAAGAACCAGGGACCTAAAGGAGTGAACCAAGCACATGGGGAGTGGGAGAATAAACAGCAATGTTGAAATAAGGGCCAAGCTAGACCACAGGGCGCCTTTGTGCCAGTTGTAAAAACAGCCCTGTGTCGCAGCTACTTGCCCCTTCAGAAAAGTATCATAAGGAATACACAAGCTTGTGTGCAACCTATGTAATTGTAAAGGCAGCCCTTTCTGAAAATGTAAATGGATGAAAGGAGTGAGTGAGTGGGTGAATGACAAAAATGAATGCGTTAACAGGATTCCCAGGTGGAGCCCTGGCAATCAGCTCTGTGAAGACTCGCCTCCACCCCTTCCCTCCCAGCACAGGACTTAGTGCCCCAAGGTCCAATACTTGCATGCGGGGCCCTTGGTGCGTGTCCTGGAAGCAGTGCCCGGTGGAGCCCACTACCTGTGGGTAGGAGCAGGTGATGGTGGTGGGCCCATGGGTCCAGTCTTTCCTCTCATCCCACGTCCCTCCCCTGAAGGCTTGAATGGCACCTTGACCAGGATGGAGGTCTTCATGAGGTGATGTCCACTAATGCCCTGATCAAAGCAAAACCTCTTATCACTGAGCGTAACCTAGGGGGTGCGGACAGAAGTGACTGGATCAGCAGGCTTGCCTGAGCACCCAGCGTCTGTTCAAGTAATGGTGGGCTTCTAACAGGCCCACTGCCCGGGGAGCTCCGCCCGCATCTCGGCACCCCCTTTCCACCTGATCTCACCCAGAAAAGCAGCGAGTTGTAATTAACAAAGACCTTCTCTTTCACCACCACCTTAATGCAGTTCGGGTCTGCCAGCACCACGCCCAGGTCCACTTGGCTCCGCAGCTGGTAGGTGGTGCCTTCTAAGAGGTGAGGCAGGGGTTAGGGGGCCGCGACTGACCCGGCAGAAGCATCGCTCCCCGGGTGGAGCCCAGGTCCCCGGTCCCAGTCCCGACTCACCGACCACCCGTACCCAGGCCCCGCCCCCTCAAGCCCCGCCCACAGACCGCGCCCAGGCTCCGCCTGGTACGAGTGCCCCCGGGCCGTCAGGAAGATGGAGAAGCTGTAGCTGGTGCCCTTGTCCAGGAAGATGCGCTTGGGTAGCTCGTACTTGGCCTTGAGGTCGTAGATCTTTTCATAGCTGGCCATGTCAATGTGCATGTTACCCGTGCCCCGCCCGTTGCTCGCCAGGTAAAAGTAGTAATCCTGGGGAATGGGGTGTGGGGCAAAATCAGCACCCGGAGAGGGGGACAGAGGGGTGTCCGGGCCTCGCCAATCCCCCGCCTCTCAGCCGTACACGCACCTGGTCCTGTTTCTTGTTTTTCCACCATCGCCAGGTGGAGTCGCGCACCGAGTCCGCGTAAGGCTGCAGAGACCACCGACACCTTGAGAGGGGGCGCAGGGGCGTCCCCAGGCTGGCGGCATTCCCAGACCCCTTCCTATATCCCCAGTCCCAGCCTCTAACCCGAAGCAAAAGTGGCATACCCAGGCTGGCTCCCGGGCCCTGCTTTCAGCCAAAGAGCTACACCCGCAAAGCCATTTCTTCAAAGCCCGGGTCAAGGCTCCAAACCCCTGCCCCCTAAGCCTCAGACTCTGCCGGGCGGCTCCACCCTCCACGTGGTTTTCCCAGCCACGCAGGCCCTGCCTTCCGCCCCTCTTAGTGCCTTCTCAGAGGAGATGTCCCGGACTGTCCGCCAGCCACCAGGCGCCCACCTCGTCGTACTGGGAGTGCAGCCAAAGCAGGTAGTAGAGGAGGCCCTGATAGACGGCGAGCGAGTCCTCGTTGTGGAGGCCCGATGGGTCCAGGACATGTGGGGGCGGCGCGCGGTAGAGCTCCTGGCGCGTGTATATCTGTGGGTTGGGCAGGTCCCGCAGGCGCATCACCGTGAAGGGGCAGAAGTTGGTGAAGGAGAGCGTCAGGTGGCCCCTGGACGGTGGTTAGTGAGGAACGGCGTGATTTTTCCGCGGCCAGCGCGCCAGCAGCCCCCGTAGGCCTGTTTACCTCCTCTGCGCTGCTGACTACTCAAATCCAATCCAGCCCTGACCTTCCTGCTCAGCCTTCAGCCCCTGGATGTTCCTGGGTCCCTCTGACCAGTGTCCTGGACCTCATCCTAGGCCCCCCTTCACTCTCACAGTCAACTTCCTAAGCTTTCCACCTCTCCCTTCCCTGCTACCCCCGCAGTTACCTCCCTGGGCTCCCCCGCAGGTGGCCAGGAGGATCATTACTGAACACGGTAAAATCTGACCATGTAGTCCCTTCCCTTAGTCTCATGATGGCTCCCCAGGACCCTCAAGATGAGGTCCAAGTTCTTCCCTATGACGCTCACCTTGCACTCTATCTGCACTGTACTTTCAGTTCTTGAACACCCAATCTCCTATCTTTTTTTGGGGCCTTTGCATATGTGGTTCCCCCCCTCTGGAACACCCTTCAGGTCACAGTTCATACACCTCTTCCTCCTTGAAGCGCTCCCTGATGCCTTTCCCCCCCAGGCTGGGTCCGCCCCCTCTTTGAGCTTCTATAGGTTCTGAGCTCCCCTGTAACAGCTTGGAGGTTGTCATTGGGGGTGACTTGGTCTCAGGGGCTTCATGTTGGCTGAGGGCTGTCTGACTGCTGCTGTGGGCTAGTATCCTCTCACCCTTGCCGCTCCAAGAGGTAATCATTGTTGAGCTTCTCATATATCAGAAGCTGTTCCACAGGCACAAGCCTCTTGACGAGTTGGCTCTTCTTGTACTTCATAAGGTACACCAGCTGCAGTGGGAAGGCAGGGCCTGGTGAGCTGGTGTCAGCCACCCTGCAGCTCCCCCATGCAACTCCAAAGCCCCCCACCTGGCACCTGGTACAGTTTGCTGTCTTCATAGAAGAGAGTGACCATGGTCTCGTTGGGGGCATGGAGAGAGGACTGGTGCATCACTTGTAGGCTGATGTACACCTCCCAGCCCTTGGATGGGAACAGCTTGTGCACCTGGTAGCTGCCCTCCACGAGGTACCATATCTGGGGGGTGACAACTGGGTGTGTGGGGTCCTCTGACTCCACCTCTCTGTCTGCACAGTATGATGGCCCCATTCCTTGACCCAGGAGGTTTGGGAGCTCACCTCCAGCTGGGACCAGGTGAGCTCACATACCTTCTTTCCATAGTGCCATCCTTCCTTCCCAGAACCCAACCTCCTCTGCTTCCAGCCCACACTTGCCCTGAAAAATTTCTTATAAGTTTCTGCTGCTTACAACTTAAGCATCCCTAATATGTGTGCCCCTGTGGGCCAGGGTTTGTAGGATGCAGCCCCTCTGTTCTCTCCCTTTTGGCATCCTCCAGGGTCTCACCACCCCTTTGGCCTCAGTTTCCCATCTATGCACTGATCCCACTCCAACACATTTCACTCTAGACCTCATTTGCTCCTGAGCCTCAGCCTCCAGAAAGTCCCTCCTCCTTGTGGCCTTCTCTCTAAGGCCCTCTCTGACACACACACCACCCCCAGACTGGGTCATGCCCCTCCTCTGAACTTGCATAGATGTTGTTTGCCCTATTACCCTGACTGCTCTGAACTGTCACTGTCTGGGCAAGAGTCTGTCTTCCCAGCTGGACTGTGACCCTGTCAAGGCAGGGACCAGGGCTGACTCCATCACCATTGTGTCCCCAACTCTAGGCAAGGGATGGTGTCATCAATATTTATGAAATGAACAGACATGTGATGAAATGAAAGAGGGCCCCATCTGGAAATCAGATCATAACTGAGCACAGCTCTTTGACTAAGCAGAGTGACTTCAGAAGGCACTATTCTCTTTGAGTTCTAGGACTCTCAGCTATAAATGGAGTCTCTGCTGTCCTTCCACAGGGTCCTTGAGGGCATTCCCTCCCCACACTCCTTTACCCTAACAGAGGGAGAAGGGAGACCTCTGGGGTTTGCGTGTGGACAGAGAGGAAGTGGGGGAGGGACAGGGCAGCCCACCTCCTCAGTCTCTGTGACAATAGCTACATCCCCATGGAACGAGTTGACCAAGTACTTGATGGATTGCTCCTTGGGGAAGCCCGCCAGGTAGATGTAGTTTTCGGTGTTATAGCTGCAGGGGTGGAAAGGGGAGCTGGGGGCACCCAGGCTACATGCCTGGGGGATATCTTCCTCCCCCAACACCAGGCCTAACACAACTTAGGAACCATTTGCTCAGTCTTCCACTAGCCTTGTTAATGTGCAAAGGAAACCTGGACTTTAACTTTGGCTCCAAACCCTCTATCCATCTGTAAACAGGAGCATTCTGCCCACCTGGCAGTTTGCCAACTGCCCATGGCATTGGCTCAGGGGCCTAGGTTCTTGAGGGGTGAAACATGCCCTTCTATTGATCACATAGGTTGGGTTCTTATATCAGGTTTCATTACCTTTAAAATATTGGCTTTCCCCGTCCTAACCCTGACCATCCCAGCCCGTGTTCTCCCCACTGCTGTCCTGACAGCTTCTAGACTTGGGCATTATCTGGAAACCTGGTGACATCAGAATGGGCTCCCATCCTAATGAGGCTGTGGAGGCAGAACATGTCCAGCCCTTTACCTGCTCAGAAGGAAGTTGCCCCAGATGAACAGCAGGTTGTTGTAGGGGTTGTAGGACATGCCTGTAGGTACCATTGGATGGTTGGTGTAAGACTCTGTCCCTAGGATCGTTAGGAACTCCAGGCCTCGAGCTGGCCAGGGAAGAAGCAGAGTGGATACAGCGGTGAGGTGGGGTCACCTGGGCCCCTGCTGTACCCCACCCACCTTTGAGGCCCCCCACCTGCCTTCCCATCTTACCATCAGGGATGAATTCTGGGATGGTGTAGAGGATAGCCAGGTAATCACTGACTACAGGTAGGGAGAACACAGCAAAGTCTGAGGCCCTGAGCTTTCAAAACCTGAAACTGCAAGTCAATAGCTTCCCATCCCCTCCAAAAAAACCCTCCGATGGCTTCCCATTTGGGCCTGTTAGCCCTTAGAGTATCTTTATATAAAATATAAAAAGGCACTGCCTTCGAGACAATACAGTCCTGTTAGGGCACAGGACTTGCCTCCTCTGACTCCCTGGCTGGGGAGTCCAGTGCACAGCCTATACAACTGTACATGGCAGCCCTGTCCTCAGTTCAGGTTAAAATCAAATAAAATCTTATCCTGAGCCCTTCCAGATCTGGCTTCTGCTCACCTCTCCAATCAATCTCCCTCCTTCCCTTTCCCTGTTCTGTTCATCACATTGACTTCCCCTCAGTTTCTCCGGCCTGCCAAGCATGTTTGCCATCACTATCCCTTATGCAGGAGGGACATGAGCATCATTTCCCTTCTGCTCTCTGCTGGGCACGGATCAGGCAGGATGGGCTCACAGTTCAGTCTGGGTTCCCACCCCTTCGTGCTCAGCCCCCCACTGTGCTGAATTACCCAGGTCGTAGCTGACCACCTGGAAATACTTCTTGGAGTCTTCGATTTCCACCAACAACAGTAGGCTGTAGTTGTCCGCAATGAATGTGGCCCAGGTTATGGAGCATATGACAACTGGACAGGAAGGGGGAGGTCCACAATAGCCCAGCCTTTCCAGGTCTCTGGGACCGCTGGGCCAATCCCTGTTTCTGCCTGCTCTTTCCCATGACCTCTCCCACCCTTCGCTGCTCCCCCATGTACTTGCTTCCCCTTGCCCTGCACACCCTCTGCAGACGCAACTGGGAGCTGGATATCTTGTATGCCTTCACACACGGACCACTGCCTGGGCAGCAACTCGAAGGACACACGGCCATCTGTGGAGCAGGGCAGGTCGATGCTCAGGCCCTTTCCAACCCACCTGGCACCTCAGCACACCAGCTCTCCCATTGTCAGGGTGGAATGCTGTGCCTCTCGCCCCCTTAGTCCTTGGGATGAGGTTGGGGGTGGTGGAGGGAGGTCTCACCCTGGCCCTTCAGTCACTCGCTCCTGGCCTATCAGAGTATCTCTCTAGTCATAGTAATTGGCTTGGGACTGGGCACTGCCCCAGAATGGGCCAACCAGAGCAGCCCTGGGAATCGTGCTAGAGCTAACAGAGAAGACGCTGCTCTCAGTCTCGTAGAGTGACTCAAACTGGTGGGAGATGCGAACTCCGAGCTCCTGAGGGCCATCCTGAACATCCATGTGAAGAGTATCTATCTGAAAATGAAGCCAAACTGCAGTACTCACGATAGCACTTTTTATAGTACTCACTGTATCCCTAGCACTGTCCTAAGACTTTTATGTATACCAACTGATTTCATCTTTATATCAACCCAGTGAGGCAAGTAGCTAGTACTATCATTAGCCCCATTTTGCAGATGAGGAAATAAAGCCAAAAAGAGAGGTTAAGTCACCTGTCCAAAGCCACAGGTGACATGGGTTGGATGTGTTGGAGCCCAGAGATAGAGTCCTGATGATGTACCTGGTGAGCCCCTGGATCCTGAGTTTGCCCTGGTCTTTTCATTTATATGTAAGTCCACAAAATTCTTTATGCTGAAATTATTTTTGAATTGGCTTCTGACTTTTGAGGCCAAACACATCAAAAAGGATACATAACACATCCCAAGCCCTATCCCTACAAATGCGTAGGCCCATCCTGCTCATAGGGGCAGCCTCCAGCCTGGGACCCTTCCTGAAGGCACATGGTGAGGAATAAGGGCCTGAGGTCACAATTCTTGGAGTTGAGAAGGTACTGAAGGTCTCTTGGGCTGCCAGAGGTGCCTACCCTTACCTGTGATGGTCCCAAAGTGAACGTAACCTTCGTGCTTGCCAGTGGTAAGGGCCATGATGTACTCAGAGCCATTGCCATGGAAATGCACAGGGCATAGTTTCTTGATGCACTCGTTGGCCAAGACACGAACCCAGCTCCCTGCAGGAGCCAGCACATAACCTCAGGCTAGGGGTTTAGTCCTGGGACCTGGCCCCCATTCACATTTTCCTGGCCTTACTGATCCTGTTATTTGTCCTTGCCCACTGGAGTAGCTGTTCCGTGTGGTGTCTGAGGGGCCCTTGGCATGGGGCCCTTGGTGTAGGGCCCTAGCTGTCTTTGAGAAAATCTTCCTTGCTCACACTCTGTCTATGAGGTTCAGATTGGGTTGATCCCCACCCTGGCATTCCCTGGCCAGAGCAATTGCTTCTGAGCTGGTCATGTGATCAAGCTGGACAAGTCAGAGACAGTCCCAGCTTGTAACCGCTAACAAAGAGATGCTTTTTCCTGGGGCCTCTGAGGGCATGAATGTCTGCAGTTGCTGGGAGGAGCAGGGAGTCACCATGGCCACAAAGAGGGTCCTACAGCTACAATGAGCCCCTAAGTGCAACTGTGTCTGAAACCAACTGACTCCTGGCTTTTTCATCTTTCTAAGCCAATACACACCCCTTTCTTTGACTTAAGTCTATTTTAACTTGGCTCCTCCCACTGTCAAAGTGCCCTAAGTAAGAAAAGGAGAAAAAGGAAGCTGTTGTGAACATGCATTACTGATGAATATGGGTTACAGTACAAGTTTCTGTGACCCTATATGTAGACACCTCTTATTTAGTTGGGAGGTGAGAAATACAAAGAACTAGGAGGGCTTTGTTATCACTTAAAAGGTCAGGCTGAACCAAAAGTCTTTCCTCTCTGATCAGTTTCCTTCATGGCTTTGCCTTTGCAGCTGCTCATCTCAATTGCCCTCTCTTCCCTTTCTGTCTGCCTTTCTGAGTCTGTGTGTGTGTGTGTGTGAGCTTGTGTACATGCTCATGTCTTTCTCTCTGCTCCCTCCCTTCACTCTCACACCCCATCTTCCCTCAACTGGTTCACAGTGCCAAGTGTAACCCCAGCATATAGAGGGTAGGAAAAGGCCCAGGCAGGTGGGCTGTGGTCATTCAGGATCCTGGACAGTCCCTCCCCCACACACATGCCCCCGCCACACCCATGGCAATTCCAGACCCAAGTGCCTCCAGTGGGGGTTCATGGAGGCTCCCTCTGGGGCTCCAACAGGCTGGTCCCCTTGCTGAGATGCTATGGACCCCCAAACACATCACCTGGCCATGGCCCCTCACCACTGCTGTGGTTGCCCTCGTGGAGTGTGATATAGGTGCCTGTAAAATAGTAGACGAGCTGGTTCTGTCGAATGAAGAGAGTGCTCTCAGTGGCGATGGCATCATAGATGGTGGCGGTGAAGCTGGCCTGGGAGCAGTGGAAGGAGCTTACCCAGCAACTGTCAATGCTCAACTGTAGAGGGGCAGAACCAGCAGTGAGCAGGTAGCCCTGGCTTCAGCCTCTGCAGCCTGCCTTGCTGGGGAGGCACCTGCTCTGACAACTGCTTGGCATGGACACATGTAGCTGCCCTCTCTCTGCTCACCCTGAAGCAGCACCTTGATGGCCAAACTTCCCTAACATGGGTCAGGAAAGCAGGCGACCCAGGCAGGAGCCAGCTGGGGCTTCGTGTGCTACCTAAAGTCGGGTACCACACAGCATACTCAACCATACTCAACAGCCTGTTCTCCAGGCCACCGTCAGGGTTGTATCTATTGTGGACCTAAAATATCCCATGCTTGGCCCAAGGCACATTTTTAACAATCCTATTCTGCCTTAAACACAACTGGCCATCAGGCTAACACAATCTGAACTCACTGACTGATCACTAACACTGGTAATATCACTAAAAGTGGGAAGGCACCACCGCAACTGGGTCTTAAAAGAGCGAATCTAAACTTAATCAAGCTTATAGAGTTCACTACTAGCCTGTACCCTTATGGGGTGTTATGGACTGAATTGTCTCCCCTCCAGTTTATATGGGGAAGCCCTAACCCCCAATGTGATTATATTTGGAGATGGGGCCTTTAAGGAGATAATTAAGGTCCAGTAAGGTCATAGCATGGGGGGCCTTAATCCTACTGGACTGGTATCCTTATAAGAAGAGGAAGAGACACCAGATATCTCTCTCTCTCTCTACTCAGGAGCACAGACAAAAATCCAAACGAGAACACAGTGGGAAGACACCTCCTGCCAGCCAAGAAGAGAGGCCTCACCAGAACCAAATAGCTGGCAACTTGATACTGGACTTATAGCCTCCAGAACTGTGAGAATATAAATTTCTGTTGTTTAAGTCACTCAATCTGTGGTATTTTGTTATGGTAGCCTGAGCACAGTAATACATAGGATCAGAGGAACAAGTTAATCAATGCCATGAGGAAGCAAGCAGCCAAATTCTATAGAACAAAAGGTCTGGTTTCTTAAATTGCCTGAAAAAGGTGGTTGGTTGGGGGAAAAAGGGTGGAGGGAAGCAGACTTAAGGGTGAGAAAAATATTAAAACCAAATGCAGTTAGACTCATAGATACTGAGAAGTGACTAGTGGTTACCAAGGGGGAGGGGAGTGGGGAGGGGGATGGGAGGGGGAGGGGACTGTTGAACCATTGTGATGTATATTTGATTAAAAAAACAAACGAAAAAGAACACCAAATGCAATTTGTTGATCCTGATTCAAACAAACCAACTTTAAAAGACATTTTTAGAGAAACTAATTCTATGAAGCCAGCATCACTCTAATACCAAACCCAGGCAAAGACACCACAAAAAAAGAAAACTACAGACCAATATACCTGATGAACACAGATGCAAAAATACTCTACAAAATATCATCAAACTGAATTAAAAAATACATCAAGAGGATCATTCATCATGATCAAGTGGGATTCATTCCAGTGATACAAGGATGGCACAA